TCGGTTTGCACCCAGCTGCTTCGCTCGGCGACAGGTGTCAAGGTTAAGAGGTGCAACAGTTGAAATCGGTATATCAGAGGTCAATGTCGGGTAGGATCTTATTATAGTACTACCACATTTCTTTTCTTGACTCACGTTTGTCTGAAAACGATAACAAATGGCCATTGAAAAAAGTTGTGGAATTAACAAATTGTTATTGGAGTTTTAAGAATTAAAATATATATATACATACATCTGGATCTTTTATATTCTCAAGAAACACTCTATAAAATGGAGAGAATTGCATCTAAATTCATCCAATAATTCTCGAGTTTAGTCTGTACTGGACAGACACATATTTATGGGTATTTTATTTCATATTTTATCATACTATGCAGAGACAGAGACCTACTAGAAGTCACTCGGTGTGTTATTCTCAGAATGCGCATTAAATGATATTCTACATATATTAGTGTACTGTAGATCACACCGGTAATTGAACATTTGTCGTTGCAAAGCTGAAAAAATATTAAAACAATAAAATCATTCAAGTTTCACAAAATGAAATTTAGGATTGGATATAATTCACTGAAGTAATATTTTCATTATTGACAAAATTAAAAGAACCATCGTTAATCTTATCTTCTTTAAAGAAACTCACAAAATATTCGAATCTAAATTGAACTTATTTACTCTAAATTAAACAACAAAAAAATTGTTTTCCTCCACTATTCCAGAAAATATTATTTTCATTCACTTCTTTCCAAATAAGATACCTTCAACTTTAAATTCAAACAAAGAATCTATCTGTCGTCAGAGAATGAAAAAAAATGTCTTTGACGTCTAGAAAAATTTAAATTAGAAGAACCAGTAGAACTCTTCTTCCAGCTCATGCATTCGCAGCTTATACGTAGTATAGCTAATACGTAAAGCAGTCATTGCTACTGTACAAAGATCAGAAACAGCAGCGGTATTCTGATCAACGTTGTCAATGATGGAGGATCTCGCCTTCGGCGCGTAGGTTGAAAAGTTCGAGCTCACAGGTGGAAGAACTGCAAGAGATTCATCTGCATAACAGTTAATAACTCCGGTACATGGTATACCTCGTATACGGTATTCTCGCGTGCGCGCGTTTCATGACCAATTGAACATCTCGCAGACAATCACGTGCCAGATTAGATTCTAACCATCCGGTGAGAATTGAAATCAAATTAACTATTTGAGAATTGTGTAAAAAATCGACCAAGATTTTCAAACGATGAATCAAAAAAATGACATCTAAAGTTATGGAATTTTTAAATTTGAGAATTCTTAAAAAATTATTCAAGAATCTTCTAAAAGAACTTTCAATTCTCCTTGGCGGACCATTGATGTCTAGACCTTTGAACTGATAGAAAAAGGCAATTCCGCAGCGAAGTAGGCAAAAAGTTGATTGAGGAAACCTTCATCCCTTCCGAGCGAAGGAAACGCTTGGAATGATTGAAGGAAGGCAAAGCGAAGCATTGATTGAAACCCCGATGGTAAGGTAACCGTTTCTTGCTGAATCTCTTGAAATAAAATAGATTGTACCGCCGCGACAGTGCAGATAAAACGTGTCATGTATTGAATCCGCCATTCATACTTCTCAATTAACACGATGATTAATTAAAGCCATGATTTTGAGCCAACGCGAATCTATACCACGCTCCGGAATCAAATTCTGTTAACCAGAAGCGTTTGTATGTTCCATGAACGATAAAAAGCTTCGAAGGAGGAACAGGAGCAAAAACTGCGATGCGGCAGTTGCCACTAAGCGCTACTCGATGAAGACATCTCTCCTTTGGCATTCTCGGAAGCGAATGCACTGGCTGAACCAAAAAGAGACGTTGCAACGTTGCACGCCTGCCCTCTGAATTAAATTAAGCCGTCAATTTCGATCCAACATCGTCCACCCTTTTAATCGGCCTCTTCGACGAACGAGAATCGAGCCAGTATCTCTGCCAGTAACTTATCGGGTTCTCGATCGATTGCGAGCCATCGCCGATATTTCTACTAAAATACCCGTGGCTCTCCGATCCAACGGAAGATCATTGGAGTCGTGCGCTTTTAAGGAGAGCTCCACCGAAAAAAAAAAAAAAATCGCAATCGGTCTCGGTAATAAATGTAAAAAGCAAGTTGTACACGCTTGTGGTTTACGTGTTGAGGAAGCGCGGTATTACGGCAACATATAGACGGCGCCAGTCGTCTTCGAATTCTTCGAGGTTCATTGTTGATTGTAATCACTGACACAAACGAAATATCTGCAAATATAGATTTGACGATTATACGAATTTTGTGAATTTGATATAACGTTAAATATATGTTTTGTAATTCATGAAATGTTACTTCGATCGGAAGAAAGATAGACGATCTGTTGATAAAGGAGTCTGATTTATGAAAGCCAGCGAAATAAATCAGTTTGTTTCTCTGGATTCTCTCGTTTTCAGTTGAAAATCTTCCAAGATTAATCCTGTCGCTCAGACGTCTTCTGAATGCTTGAGGTCTGTTACGACTTCTCGCGCACGCGTAATCTAAAAAAAAGCAACACGAACAAATGTTACGGTTTATTAAATAGTTCGTTCCATATGTAGGTTTATATTCTGTGCATCTAAAAATCGAACGCGAGAGGCAGCATGTCGTCGTAAATAAGGAACCCTCAGTTGCGGGTCTCTGCGTAATTGGTGGGCAATAAATAAATGTTTTTCCTTCCAAGCTCATTTTGCCAAAGACAAAAAAATCGATTAATGATAATCGATTAATGCGTCACCTGTAAAAAGCAGATGAACTACTTGAAAACGTACCGCACAATTATAGCCAGTAAGAATAAATTTTAAGCTACGTACAATTCTATAGCGTGCTGCTAGTCGCGAATTGGAGAGGATAGAAAACACTGTGTTTATTAGCTGAATCAGCTAATAATATCTTCTTGTAGCAGCGGAAAGAAAAGATGCGAATAACCGAGTACTTGTGAATACTCACGATTGCAGTTCTACTCTAACTGCTCTTTTTTTTTTCCCCTACAAAGTACTTGCTCCTTCATATCCTGCATAGTTACAAATTCGTTTTTACATTTCTCTATGAATCAACAGACGTTTAAAAAAAAAAAAAAAAAACGAACGTAACTCATTTTTGCCAAAGTTTTAGTATTGTTAACACTCCGATTTCAATTATTTTGAATAATTATCCACGCGTATCTTGGTAGAGTAACCGGAAAGAGGTTAGTCAATGAGAGAATACGATGATTAAGCGATTTAAGTTTCATTGGCGGCGGATAGTCCGTTTAATTAGGGACGATCCGAGAATCGATTCCAAAAAAGGACACCGTTCCACTTGGATTACATAAGAATTCCCATTTCAGATCTCTTTGGTCAATGAAGCGTCCAGAAATGGATCGGAGATTCTCTTCAACGTGTTAATCCATAATGCGGAGAATCGTTTCTTGCCAATTGATTAATCAACTCATTCGAGCAGTTCATTTGAACATACAAGGTGCTGCACTGTGGTGAAATGTTTTCTGACAAATTAAGAATCTGCTGAAACTGATTGTATTTAGATTGTACGTGTTCGAACGAAGAATACCTCGGATAAGTCTCTTGAGAGTTGATTGAACATCAATTAGAATGGCAATTTGACATTCTGAAGTGAATGGCTGTTGATAATCCAAGATATTCCAAAATCCAAGATCTTCACATGTTGTTGGATGATTAATTAATTCCTGATAAAAATAGTACTAATGAATGATTAGTTTAGATACATAAAATGTAAGTTTAAACTTACGATATTTTTTTTTAACGTTAGTTAAAAAAAACTAACGTCAATTGACCCAATTAACCAATAATTTTGCACGAGTTATGTTAATGAATTCATTCTGTTGAACGCATTAAAAGATCCAGTGAAATGACTGTCGAAGCAAAATGCTTCAACTTTATCGAGGCCATCTGGGTTAATGGTCGATTAATAACCAATTAACATCGCATTTTCGAGTGAATCAGTCGGTTAACGATCAGGAAAGAGCCATTACCGTGTTTCTTGGGCAAGGCGAAGGCATCAGATGAACATACTCCAGAAAAACGGCAGCGTCATTACGATGAACATTTGCAACCACTTGTAGCGAGCTTGCGGGATATCACCAACGATGAAGCTACGTATGTTTGCTCCTATAGTGTGTTTCGCGCATCGTCGTAAGTGCTGAAATCGTCGCAGACAAATTCAGTTTCCTTTCTGTTGTAAAACAAGTGCAACAGTACAGATTAAAGCGAGAATCATGGAATTTAAAAGTGTGATGAATTGATGCTTGACATTACTTTTTCATATGGAGCAAAATTCTGGAGAAACTTTATAAAGCTAATTAACATTTTACCATTATGCAATATATTCAGCTAAATCCTAAATGTACCTAAGAGTTATTGACTGTAGCGCTTCTAAAAATATTTAAGTCGCCCAATATCTTCAAAAATTGAAACTTGATTATTTTATTAATTAATTTCCACGGTATCACGTCCTTCAGTTTCCAAGTGTCTAAAAAAGTCAATCTAGTCCGGATCAACAGAAACCACCCTCTATATTGTCCTCGAGAAACATGTCCTCATGTTCTCCAAGGATATCCACGCGATAGAATCGATGCGGGGCGATAGCGTCATAGGAGATTGTAGCCTCGGGGTGCGGTTGTGGCCGCGGTACGCACAGCAGACCCTCGTGGAACGATGTCGGACCGACATGAGTGAAGTGCGCGCGCGTACTCGAGCCGGGGCCCTTCGGCGAGGCGTTGGGCCCCGACACGCCACACATATTAGAAACGAATATAAATATATCGGGAAGCTCAGCAGGGCAGAGCAGTGGGGGCAAGCGAGCGCGTATTGGCGGCGTGCAAGTTACACGCAGCGGCGTAGCAGCTCGAGTTCGAGAACGGGCCCTCATTCCCCCTTCCCTGAAGCGGCTTTCCAGCCGGGTAGCCGCCCTCGTCCCGCGCTTCACCGGCTGCCAAGCGGTCCCAGAGCACGCTCAGTGTCCGCTCGGCCTCAGCACGTCCGAGTAGGAAGGATGGAAGTATGGCTTCTAGAAGCTTTTTAACGCGTCCACGGGGCAATCACAATACTACTGCCAATTAACCGCCGGTGAATCTTCGCCTAACGTGCCTCTGCAAATTCTGCCTGTGTATTTTATACAAAGAAACGAATTCAATCGAGCTTGGCGAATTTAGAGAATGTTCCAGTGATCGTGTTTTGACAGCTCATCAGTTTTAATCGGTGATACTGTGATTTGCTTGTGACGGATCAGTATGAGCTGTTTTAATAATTTGTCGACGCGTCTGTTATATCGCATCAGCGACTGACAGGATGAAGATGTTCGTGACTTCGTTCTATCAGACTGATCCCGGAATAGACTGACACGTCGCGTGTTGAAGGCATCGACGTGAATCGAATCTCCGACCCGTTGGAGAGAACCACCGGAGCGGACGGTGATCGGAAATTAACGTTCAAGAGAGCTAGGCTGTATGAATCCCCAGGCGACGAGAGGTGGAGGCGACGATCGATACGAAGATCGGTTGGAGAACCGCGTGAAACGTTATCATTCGCTCGATTCCCTTTGTATGCTCGACCACGGTGCCGCGTATTAAAACGTTAATCTCTGGCTGTACTACCGGTTATACGTACAGATTGCCTCTCCCTCTCCCTTCTTTCTCTCTTTCTCTCTCTCTCTCTCTCTCTCTTCCCATTCTGCACATTCTACTGTCTCTCCCTCTTTCTCTTTTCCCTTCTCCGCTCAGCTCTCTCTGTTACTCCTTCCTCACTGCGTCTTTGTTTCTTCTCTTCCTCTTCGCTGGCTACTAACTTTCTTTCCTCTTTCCTTCCTCGCGATGGTCGCTTTCTCTGTTGTCCCAGTCCTTTCGGCTCGTCCTTGTCGTGTCCTGGAGAATCGTCTTCGTGTTCCAGCAGCGCGTGCCAATCCGAAGAGCTGAAAAAAACATGGTACACTGTCAGTCGAATGCCAATGCCACTTTCTTGTCTCTGTCCGTTGCGAAATTGTTAAAATATTTAGCAAGTGATAGACTTAGAGGAGCCATCATGTCTTTTCGCCTTTATGGAACATCGGTTGACGATAACACAGATAGAGTAAAAATGGAGTTTCAGTTTTTGACTCTCCCAGTCTTAGGATTCGGAGCACGACTCAATCAGAATGTAAGCAAGGTCACAGAGAAGAGACGATTTACCTTACTGGACTCAGGCAGGAATTAATCTCGACGACGTTACTCCTAAAACATAACAGCGAAACAAATTTTCTCTACTAAATGGAATATTACTGCTATTTACTACTATTTCAATACTACTTACATAACAATTCAAATGAAATAATTGTATGAGCCAACTTCTTAGAAAGAAGTCATGTCAAGTCTCGCAAGGAGACGAAAAACTTCGGTGCTAGGCTCAAAGAGATGGTGGCAGGGTGGCTGCTGGGCCACCAGAAGCCATCAGGAGGCGTATCTTCGTAAACTATACGCCAGGAAGAACGATCAGGTTAGCAAAATCGACGACGAATCTAGCAGCCGACGGGATCTACCTGGTAATTGGACGCCTGGCACGGTCTACGAGTTACCTTCCGCCGACGAACATTATTTGGATGCCTTCCTAAGGAATCGCGAGGACGGAAACGAAGAAGATGATGTGGTTGATGCTGTGGTCGAGTGTCCAGCTTTGGCTACGACGAGAGCTAGCCCCACGGAGAAGTGCGTGAAATACCTGAACGGTGCCCATGACGTCGTTGTGTTTGAAACCGAACGCAGGATCACGGGGGAGCCGGTGGTAGCCGATTGCGGCTCCCTGCATTCGGGTTACGATGTCGCCGCCTCTGCAGAGTGAGTTGATCTCGTTTCACTGATCGACCTGTTCGAGGGAAAGTTTTTCGGCCAGTAGCCTGCTTCCGTTACGGATGTCGTTTTAGTCATCTTGTTTCTTTTTAGCGAGCTGGTCACGTTCCTCGAAACAACAGCTGAAAAGTGTTTCATGTTAGATTGATTGTTATTAGTTTGGAAGGTTTGGTGCTTACCTGCGAGAGATCTACACTGGGATTCCTTGAGTAACTAGTTTTTAGAATCGAAAATTTTTTAATGCTTACTCGTGATCATTACGTTAAGGTTCTTTTGTTTGGAATTATATCACTGACATTAATATTATAAATATTTAAGTTATTACGATACGATCTTACTGAAATGTATGAGTTAATGGTAATTAAACATTAAGTAAATCTTAGATGCATATCATATTTGTAGACAAATATCATTGGTTGAATTAATCACGATAGTTTTTCTGCCAACTTAAACTTACTTTTCAATAATTTCTAATTTGTTTTCAGATATTGCATTAGTTAGATTAGGAATTAAAATTAAAAGAGAATAAAAGAATAAAGACATCTCAGAACTCAAGATTAAATTGAAAGCAATTGAGCTAACTTTAAATTGAATTGAATTGAACTTTAAAATTAATAGAACTGGATATCACTACCAAAATTCAGTTCTGACTTTTGATTTTCAATATCAGAAAACTTACAAACATTTATCATTTGAATTTCATGTCAGAAAACTTACAAACTAATTAATCAACGAGAGAAAAATAAATCAAAACAAAATTTATACTCTTGGATATACAAAGAAACTAGCGAAATTAGAATGTTTCTAGTTTCTATTGACTATGTCAATGAAATGCATACGTAATTTCCTACGGAATTAAATTTCCGCTTTCTCATTAGAAATTGAATTCTTTCTTTCCCTCGTTGCACACTGTGATGCCTGTACGACATATGAATCTGTTTTCAAATTACGATAGACTAATTGAAGCTTGGAAGCAGTATGGAGTTCCGATGAGAACGGTTGGTTATCAAGCTTGCCACTCGCTGCCAATTTATCGTCTTTCATGCAAATAGGATTTCTTGTCAGAGACCATGAGACTCATTCGCGCGCAGGGTACCTCAGTGATATACTACTCTCTAGATTATAACATACATATCTTTTCTTTTCAAATTGAATCAATGTTTTATCCTCATTTTTCTTCCCTTCTACTTTTAATGGGAAAAAATTAATTGAATTTATTGAACACGTATGATTTTTGTCAGTTATTAATAATAATAAACTTCACAAGAGGTCGTTAATTCATATTGGGTTGGAACTAGAATTATTAATTAAAATTAATTACCAGATGTCAGTCGTACATTATTTCTGAAGACTTATTAATTTCGTTTTTAACTGCACACGCATGCACGCATTCTTCTTCGTTTCTTTCTCAATGAAAATTAAAGGGTTCATTTATGTTCAGTTTTAAAGATATTTAGTATCTCTTCTTTCATTTGAAATTAAAGAGTATACTGCTTTTCTTTTTGATTATATGTACCTTCTTTTTAATCGAAATTGATGGGTTTGCACGGCGATCGAAGTCCTTTCATTTCTTTGAACTGATGGGAAGAGAATTTATCGCTTCCTGTAGAAAAAAAAGTATGTATTCTTGGAACGCAGCTGCATTTATATGCAGTCTGTATGGTGTTACCCATGAGTTTTTCGTTGCAATACAGAGAAATTGTAGATAAATTAGTATTAACAACATTAGAAATTACAAATCAAATCTATTACATTTAAAGTCATTTGTTCTAAGAACTGAACAAACAAATCACCGAGATTCTTCCCTTTACATAAATATGATAAACCCTTACCTTTCAAGTTTATGATTTTATCGCAAATATGTAAAATTGAATCAATTGTTTGCTTTTATGGCAAACGTCATCTGGAAGAGTACATTTTCAAACATGTAGAATTGAGGTTTAGCTTTCATATGGTATCATGCTGATTATTACTCCATTATATACTATATACACTGATATATATATTCATGTATTCTCGTAACTGGGAATCTTTAAATACCTAAAAATCATTCTATTTTCAATGTTTTACTCAAGTAAAATTCTCTGCAACAAAATCAAGAAATCTGTAAAACTTGATGAACCTCAAATAGAACCCCACAGTGTTAAAATAATATAATTACTATATATTGAACTATATACGCTTCGCAAGTTAGGATCCTTGTATAACTATTAGTTAGGATCTTTGTATAACTATTAATTATAACTATTAGTTAGGATATTGTATAACTATTAGTTATAACTATTAGTTAGGTATAACTATTTAACTAACTATTAGCTAGAGAGCTTTGACAGAACACAAGAAAGACCAATGACCTCGTTATCGCTACCTTGAATCATTCTAACCCAGAGTTTTCGATTCTGGTTTCAGGAAGGTGTGCAGAAGCTGCAGGTGTCCCAGAGAGGAGCATCAGCGGACTTCGACGGAGGCGGGAGGTCCCTCGGGACTCGGCCTCGGTCCTGGTCCGCCGATGGCCATGGCCATGGCTTTCCAAAGCGGGGCCGCTGGTTCTTCTCACCAAGAACCTTTCAAGAGTCCCGTGCAACCGGCTCCGCCGGGCCTCGCCCTTCAAGAAGCCCTGATGCATCATCAGAGGCACTCACAGAGCGACGATGACAGCGGATGCGCGCTTGAGGAGTACACGTGGGTCCCGCCCGGCCTCAGGCCAGATCAAGTAAGAGAATTTGTATAGAATACGCTTAGAATACAAATATGTCGGTGGTCTTTCGATTTTATTTCTGTTCACTTTCAAGTCTTGTTTCTAACTTGGGGCATTACGTTGTTAATTATGTATTTTTATATGGTGATTCAAATGTCCATTTCTTCAGGCTGGATTATAGAAGTTGCTATGTAATCTGAGCTTTCATCATCTGTAAGAATGATTGTTGTGTAAAATCTTGTTATGTTATATATTGTATTTCTGTACAGTAATCTTTGTATGTATTCCGAACGATTAGGTTCTGTTTAAAATTTAAAAATCTTTTAATTTGTATCCCTCATCTGGGTTTCTGTATCGCATTGAAAATAATCTGGGTCTTTGTTTTCTTGAAAATATATGAAATACAAATCTCAAATGGAATGTTGCTGAACTTAATAGGAAAATTTCACGCCTACGAGATAAAGAGACATGAAATGAATCAGCAAAAGATTTGAACAATACGAAAATAATACAGGATTTGACGAGATCTCGTGTGGGCGCGCCTCAGTATACTACTCGCCACAGTAGGAGTGACTTTGAATTTATGTATATTCATGAAGGTTGACTTTCTCCCCATAAAATTTACGAAGACAGTTACAATAATAGTACGCTTAAAATTTTCGAGAACTTCAACGTGTTTTGCATATCAAGCTTATCTGAAAGATGTAATCTTCCGTCTGTGTAAAATATTAAGATTACGAGATCAGGCTGCCGAAAAGTACTTTTACAAAGTACTACATCAGCTTTTCTCTCTTTTTCTATATTTACTTATTTGCATAATGAAAAGTAACGAAATATAAATGAGAAAGGATTGGGGTCAAACGTTGATCCCATAAGCAAAATAAAACACCGTAGGCTCATTCCAATGTTTTGTCCAAGGGAGGAGTCCATCACGTGTCCCGTGTAACTGTAGGCATTTCATTTTTGAATTATTCATGAATGATGAATATCGAGCATCGTGATCGCCGATACACGAAACGTTTAGTGTCTTTAATCTTCGGTTCGTCTTGTAAAAATTCACTGTGCCCTGCATTAAAAATTTTCCTATGTAATTCAGTCATTTGTTTTTACCTTCTTGAAAAAATCGGTATAAAAAGTTTTCATACTTTTCGTATTCCATTTGCTTACCCTTTTTACTCTAGAATAACTTTTTACGACAATTCTTAAAAAATTACTTTCTCTATCAAATTCAAAGAAATCAAAGAGAATGTCCGGTCAGAGAACATTTTCAAAAAGACGCTGATACGAAATCTTATCTCAAATAGTGCGGACGTATTGTTTGATTGAATGAATCCTCATCTTGCAAGAAAAGAGCGTTATTGATTCTTGCTTGTTTCTCTTCTCAATTCTGTTCTAATTTTTGGTACAGGATACGTTGTTCATTTTCTAAAAAGAAAAAAACAAAGATTAAAAATAAGAACTTAGAAGAGAATAATTTTTATCACAAGACATTATCTCTCTGCTCTTTTGACACTTTTAAATGAGACTCGTAGATTATGTTTATCGTCATGTTATCCAAAAAGGGCCATTACGTGTTTGCATATTTTGAAAATAAATAATTTTATTACGAACGGCTGTTAATTTCGTAAACTTGCAAAACGTTGCGTGCATTTCTCTTGGATCCCCTTCAAAAAATGCCCTGGGAAGGGACCGAAGACCAACAATCAGCGCTCGTTAACCACTTGCGCTGGCACAACCGATTGCGGACCATAACGAGTGACCAAACCGTATATTATATATAGTAATTCGTCGCTTTCTTTTCGAGCTCGTCGGCGCGACATCGCTGGACAGAAATCACTGAGAAGTCATAAATTTATTATTTGTTATCGGTTATTACTTAAATATACTTAAAACTGAGAAAAATATTGCAATTTCGGGGCAAAATGTTTCTGGACGTGGGGGGCGAGCCGTGTCGTACGACGGTAAAGAGAAAAGTCCCGATGATACTCGGTAACACACAACACGTTGCATCGCAATCGCTCTTAATTACCATTGCCTCGCATCATCGTGTGTCGCAGGTACACCTGTACTTCAGCGCGCTACCGGAAGACAAGATCCCGTACGCGGGCAGCGCCGGCGAGCGGGAGCGAGTGAAGCAGCTGCTGCAACAGCTTCCACCGCACGACAACGAGGCACGGTACTGCAGCGGCCTCACCGAGGAAGAGAAACGGGAGCTGAGGGTGTTCGCCGCGCAGCGGAAACGCGAGGCGCTCGGACGGGGACACGCGAGCCAGCTGGACAGGCCCCACGGCGCCGGATGCCGGGAGTGTAGCAGGCCGATCGCGGCCGGCGAGATGGCGGTGGCTGCGAGCCGCGCCGGTCCATCCGCCCTCTGGCATCCGGCCTGCTTCGTCTGCTGCGTGTGCAGGCAGTTGCTCGTCGACCTGATATACTTCTGGAGAGACGGCAGGCTATACTGCGGCCGGCATCACGCGGAAACGCTCAAGCCGAGGTGCTGCGCCTGCGACGAGATCATACTCGCCGACGAGTGCACCGAAGCGGAGGGGAGGGCGTGGCATATGAGGCACTTCGCATGCCTCGAATGCGATCGCCAGGTAAAGATCGAGGAGGATGATATCATCCACGCTTGCTTTCAACTGTCGCTCATCTCTGTGTTTAATGATGGAGAAGGAACTCGATTGTCGTTTTCTTCTTTGATGTAGGCTTGATTGGCATTGCTGAGGAAATGATCGAGAGGTTCAGTCGTCGTTTGGTTAAGATTCCGGATGAATTTTTTGGAATCTTTTTTTTTTTTTTTATACTTTCGCATCAGTATCATTGGGCTTCTCTTTTTGTAGTTTTATACTAGAATCCTGTCCCACGGCGATTCTGCGTGGAAAAACGAACGAATTTTTTCGCTGGAGCCTTCGTTTCCTCGAAAATTTATCAGGTAATGGCTTGAATTTGGCTGATAATTGACTGTCAGGGGACTGCTCTATGTCTGTGAAAATAAGTAAAGAATGTGTAACGAAGTTTTTTTTTCAAGATGCTTCACTTTTGAGAAAGTCTACATATATATTAGAGATACTCATAAGTATGTTTTTTTCAAAATTTAATAAACATTGCCATGCAGAATAAATTTTGTACAATATCAAAAACCCGATCACCAAGCTATTTTTCAACGAAACATACTCAAAGTCTACTTTCTTGAAAATGATATTTCAATCATTCTACATTTTTCACCTATTTTTTATAAAATATCTTCGTGTTGATCACTTGAGTATACTTGATAAATTTTCAAACTTGATTTCCTTGAAAACGAAGGTTTTAAACAATTTTATTTCTTCCTCTCGACATATTTTTTCACGTAAAATCGCAAAACACCTTGTATACTCGATGACTGACTTGGTAAGCTAAGCTTCAAGAAGAAATTAAGTACATCTGTTTGAATAATTTAGAAATGAGTGTTTGTATCTTAATTTTCAAATAGACAAGGACCTTTTCTGTTTGGTCATGGCATATGGATTATTTATGCGAATGGTTAACTCCACTGAAATAATAGGGTAAAAGTATGGAAATAAACAGCGACTTGTTAGACGTTTCTTGAAATTTAGGGTCAATTATGTGATCTTATTTCAATTCAGAGACTTCAAGTACACAGCCATTGATGTTACTGACTGTCCGTGAATACTAAACGAGTCATGAATTATGCATTGTATTTACAAGTCTAAAAATGGACATTCACATTTTAACGCTCACGTTCGAACACTGGTGAACAAGCGTATGAAGTGGCCGAGTTCATTTTTACTTCCCTCTATTGTTCTTTCAATTAGCATTACCGAAAGGAAAAAAGAAGAGACAGGAATGCTGTTTAAAAGCAGTTTCTCAAAATAAGCAAAATAAATCGACTAACATGAAAGGGTAACCTAGGGTATTAAAAGAGACAAATCATCTCACTTGGCTACCGCCGTTCCTTTGATCGGCATCGATCCGGATCAACTTTTCTCACTTGTCGTGTCGACTAATCGAAATTCCCTGTCGTCCAACACAGACGCATCTACTTAACTCCTCGCCATCGAATCGCACCGCTCTTAATACCCGTACGTACTGTAACCTTATTACCAAGAATGCATTAATCCCGAAGAGATTATAATATTTCACTCAGCACACCGACAACGTAACGTACTAAATACGTACTTACTATGACATTTACATGTTGATTGAATCTTCGTGTTGAAAATTCATTCTACTGAAAAGGTCCTTCCTATTCTATTCCATGTTCATTAACGTCTTGAAAACTGACAGATGCCCAAAGACAAAAGTTTTATATTCGGGGTTCTACTTCCCCTTTCCTCAGAAAAGGGAAATTCAACAGAAATATACTTGTAGTTACATTGGACGATATAGAGTGCAGCAGACTCGTTCGTCGACGCTTTTTGCGACGTGACAATTATTTACGCCAGACGAGCATGTCCATCGAGAGTGATTTAGCCCCCGGTGCACCGGGACGATTTAGCTCTGTTAGCTTCAGACCTGCCCCCTTTGTATTCCCATGACAGCTGTCCACGGCATACTGTGCGATAATTCATTGAATCTAGGTGTCGATAAAACGTCACGGACAGTGGACTATACGCTGGACAAAGCTTCTTATCGGCTGAACTGGCTCGATAATGAATGATGGAATCTCCAATACGATCGAGAGCCAATCGTGTGTCGGCGTTCCAGCTCTCTGAGGATCCCCGATAATCCGAGACAAAGTGTTACCGCTTGTAACGATCTGTGGAATGGATTAATAGGATGAACGTAATTTGCGTGATGATCAAAATGACATTTCTAAGTAACGGGGGTGATGAACATGGATGGATGCTCGTGATTCGGAAATGGATTTATATTATGCTCGGTGATGGCTCGTGGGCACTGCAAAATTGCAGCACCCCCAATTTTTCTTGATATACATATATGTATGTATGTATATCGAGAAAAATTATATATTATATAATATAGTAGATAATTAAATATATATGTATACATATTTATTTAATTGCTTGTAATATTTAATTTTATCATCAACAATTCTTTTACTCTGCATAACGATAACAAAAATTCACTGCATTTAGAGTATGTATGTATATTTCAAAAGTTGCAGCATTTTCACGATTCCAAGCCACGAGCCACTATTGATTGTACTATTGATGATTCTTTAGATATTTTTGTATAAGTTGGTATAAGTTATGATAATGACGAACCTTATGGTTTCCCGTTTTGTTGAATATTTAGTTCATAATAGATGAGATCAAGCTGAAGTCTGTCAATTGTTCAAGATAATTGAAGAATGGATCTATTTTATTTTTCGTCTTCTTTTCTTTTGTTAACCATTCTCAAAACATTTTACTATGTGAAAAGCCACAAGGGAAAAATTATCATAATTAACATACTTCACGTTTTTAGAACGTAGATGTTTTAAAATTCAGTATACAAATCCATCAACATTTTATTAGTATTAGATTAGTACTAATAAATATTTTGGATCATTTTTTTGAATACTTTGCTCAATGAAATGTCTAAGAAACACTTCACAAATTTATTTTCAAAATTCTATACATACATATATTTGTTATAACAAGTTGTTTTCTATTTCAGCTATAAGAATATCCTTTCAATTGGCATAAAAATTGTGAAATCAATAAAGGTAGAGTTGTCATGTTTCTCTCTTATGGCGTAGAATGAGATCACATTTATTATCTTTTCTTATGCAACACGACTTTTAAAATATACAATAAATAGTAACATTTGATCAGTTTTATACACTCGTTAGATCTTTGTTCATGGCCAGTGTATGAAAATTCCCTAAATATTACAAAGATTAAACATAACTAATCGAATCAGTACAATCGTACTTACCTCTGTAGATTCTTATAAATCTTTATCTCGATTTCAGCTTGGTGGTCAAAGGTACGTTATGAGGGAAGGAAGACCTTACTGTCTCCGATGTTTCGATGCCTCGTTCGCCGAGTACTGTGATAGCTGTGGCGAACCAATCGGCGTGGATCAGGGGCAAATGTCGCACGAGGGTCAGCACTGGCACGCGACCGAGGCTTGTTTCTGTTGCGCCACTTGCCGTACGTCCCTTCTCGGACGGCCTTTTCTTCCACGGAGAGGTGCCATTTATTGCAGCATAGCCTGTAGTAAGGGGGAACCGCCTACGACACCGAGTGATTCCTCTGCTGGACCACCACCACCACCTTCCTTCCTTAGGTAGCTATTGTTCTGGCTCATGCAATTAAGAAAGAAATATAGAATTAGCGTTACACTGTTTAAAACCGCTGTTGAAGGTTAATACTTGTAATTTACATGTTAACAATTTAACTTCAAACCATGTTCTACTACTTACAAGTATTCTAGTAAAACATAAAAGTTGAAGAGATCCTAGAATTTTTCTTTCCGTTAAAATTGCCAGTTTAAGTAATAGTTTGGAGAACTTGATAAGCGAAGAGAATTCTTTCTTTACTAGTAATTTTTACATTGCTTCTCTGTTTGGAGTAACATTCTAACAAGACAGAACTTGAAATCGACCTAATGAATTGCAGAACTGGCCGGAGACCACCGCCGCCAAGCGAAGGTTCTTCGAGTCCACCACCACCTCCTCCACCTCCGCCGCCGCCTGGATCTAGACACACTCTATGCTCGCCTCGTAACTCACCACGGATGAATAGGAAGCATCATCAAACATCTGCTTCCCTTGCCACAACACCTACGCAAAACACCTTGAACCCAGAATTTCCTAACGAAGGATTCCCCTCGAGCGGCTCGAGACCGAGCGGCCTTGACCGAGTGTTACTCGAGAGGAATCTCGAGAGACTCCTTCAGGAACGCAGTTCTCACTCGGAGGAAAATCACAACGAATTAGGAAGGTAAACTTGACTTGCCGATAACTTAATTTTTCTACAAACAAACGTACGATTTTGCGATTACTATTAACTTTAACCGTTTACAACCGTTTTAAGCAGTTATCATTCGTAGATAATGGAATTTCGATTAACGTTCGATTTGTCGAAATATATTTCCAAAAACGTTGACAAGGCGGACATTTAGACACGTGTATGACGGGTTATCAATCTGTAGGCGATGCTCCACTTGTCCTCCACTCAATCATCCATTCTTTTCCAAATTCAGCTGTCAAATGCCATCGCACGCGTGCTACTACATAATATATATAATAGATAATGTACAAATTTGTATAATATAAATTTTTCCATCAGATATATATAACTAAAGTACTATGCAACTTTTCCAAATTCAGCTGTCCTGTCAAATGCCATCGCACGCGCGCTACTACATAATATATAATGTATAAATTTGTATAATATAAATTTTTCCACCAGATATATATAACTAAAGTACTATGCAACTTTTCCAAATTCAGCTGTCTTGTCAAATGCCATCGCACGCGTGCTACTACATAATATATACTGTACAAATCTGTATAATATAAATTTTTCCACCAAATATATATAACTAAAGTACTATGCAATCACATCAATCGAATTAACCGTCATAAATCTTCTGTTCGTAGACTGATGCAGGCAAGAGACCGTGAACCGTTGAGATGTGTTCAGAATTGCGCTCCTACCCACGCGTCGAGTATGCCAGAGTTACCGCCACCTCCCCGGCCGTCGTCCGGAGCGTCCGCGTCGGCGTCGACGTCCACATCGACCGGAGTTGTCGCAGCCGCGATGCCAGGGATCGTGTTGGAGACGACGGCATCGCCAACGACGTTGTCAACCCTCGTCGTTAGCCAAACGGATCCTCCGACGCCAACGTCGCGGCGTGTGCGGTTCCAGGGCGACTTGGACGTAAACGATCACGCTGCGACGTCGTCACGCGTCACCCTGTCGCCGAACAACGATAGGAATTCATCCTCGTCGCCCTCCCCTCCCCCAGCGTCGTTGTCGAGAACAAATGTGTCTCGATCGAGAAGCCTGCAGCCTGAGGAAGTCGCTAGCACGTCCGCTTGGGGTGCGTAAACTTTTCTACTTTGCATAAGATAACGCAGTTCCTTCGAGGAATCTTAGAAGTTCTTCTCTCAGAAAAGGGGGGAATTGCGAAGCTACGAGAGATGGATGGGTCGCTGTTGCTGTTGAGGCCTCTGTGATTTGGTTTGAACCTAGAAGAATATTCAAATTTTAAGAAAGATTGAGAAATAAATTGTAAAAGATTGGCCTACGTTTTATTGCATCGCAATTACGCTCTCATTACGTCTATTGTAATATTGTATCACAGTTAGTATGCTCTTGCACTGTATCTTGTTATATCTGTTTGCTATATTTTGTATACTTAAGATCAAGTCGATCGCGGATATTAAACAATTATCATATTTCATATTGAATATTTTTAAAATGTATGCTGCAGTCGCAATAACTGTTACGCTTTTTGTGACAAACGTGTTTGTAATAATTCCACAACTTACTGCAGGTATTGCTGGAAGCTCAAAGTCAAGGATAGACGGCGACGACGACGACGTCGAGTCTTGCTGTTCTACCTGTAGCTCCTCGAGCAGTTCCGACGAGGCCACCGCATACGCTTTGCCGCCAAGAAGAGCGTACGGTGGCGTTCGGATTTCGTACGTGCCCAACGACGCAGTGGCATGCGCGAGAAAACGTACACCGACATCCTCAACGTCGAATCAAGCTCACAAGGACGCAGATAAGTGCGTTGTGTCCTGATGACATGCTTCGAGAGTTTCAAGTTGTATCTGCGTCTATATTCGATGTACTTGGTTCGTCGAAGAAAAAAAAAGAAATCGTTTTCTGCTTCACTGTCAGGTGACGGTGGACCGATGAGATTTGTATCAGTCTCGAACCGACGAGCAACGAGCAAAAAAATGAACGAATGCGAGATACAAGAGTTCCTAAAAAAAAAAAAAAACCCGGCGTAACTAAGGATTTTTCTGCCATGTTTCCCGCGGTCGAGACTCGAAACGAACGTAAATTTCAAATACTCGTGTACATAATGAACGTAATAATCGAAATAATCGGTCGCGAACACCGAACAGTCGCGACGATTGCGTTTCTTTTTCTATTTTTATTACCCCCACCCTACCCCATCCGATGTACTTGATAATAATAACGACGATGATAGCATTATATTTTATTACCATTGTCATTCCCGCTGCGTAATTGACAGTTCAAACGGGCGCCGTACCCTTGTTCGAGATTCGATCATCCTCACTTGATCAACTTTTTTAGGCAATAGTGTATGAGGGGATGAACTCAGCTCCATGAAACAAATAGTATTTGACCGTGATGTGATCGCACGACATTACATTGTAAGTACAAATAAAGGGCGCTCGGACCGAGATGTAGACAATCTGAAAAATATTCGGAAAATAAATTGATATTTGATTTATCCCTTGACATTCTCTTCATTTTTTTTTTCTTTTTTTTTTGTACATCTCTTTATGCTAAGTTACATAACATTATTAACACAAGTACAGTGTGCTGCTACTTCTTCATCATCTTGAGGATATTTTATCATTCTGATCTTTTACATCAACTTTAAATCACAAAACATATAAATAAGATTAAAGATTATGCTTTCAATTGTTCTGATCTACAAAAGTGTATTAGGTTGTAATAAATATTTGTTCTGTAAACGACATATGCTATTAAACAGAAAAAAACAGAATGAATACGTATTGTAACAACCTAATACATATATCTTTCTCTACTGCACGAGCAATAACCATCCAAATTGATTTATCTATCTTTCAATGCGTGAAAAACTCGCTTTCTACCGTTCTAACGCGCAGGTAAGATCGATCATAAGCAAAGCAATGTTTGGAAAGCTTGTAAAAGCCTCGTTTGAAGATTAATGGAAATCAGTATGATGGACTATATAACGGGAAGGTCCAAGTCGCGTTCCCACTGAAGTAACAGTGAGAAATCTTTTGTTTCGTGTTTCTTGAAAAAGTTGTGCTATCTGTTGCCTAATGTTTCTTCATATTACTTCATGTTTTTAGGAACAACAACAAAACCTAAACGCTCCTCTGATTATGTTACAGCAGTATGGACAAAAACATATATCTATAACAATGATGCTCTGATATTTATCTTCTGATACTTGTTGTGCATTGTCTGCGATAGAAAGCAAAAACAGTTCTTGTTTGTTTCAGTGAGGATGTAGCTTAAGTAGGCAAAAATACAACGATGCTTGTCATCCGATTAGAAGGGGGAAAATGAAAACGCACGGTCGAGCAGCGAAAACAGCGAAAGTGGTTTCTCTCGGCCGCACCAGACGCCTGTTGTTATGCCACTATCTCGTCTACTTACTTGTTACACTCATGAAACCTCTCTCCTTCTCTGTCTCTCTTTCTCTAGCTTTCTCTTATTTCACGCGAGAGAGATCTCCGGCGTTTATGAAGGATTGGGAAGAACAAACCAAACGGATTTATCATCTGCCAACATCCACGTTTCCGATCAAGCATCGGAACAATCCACGTTGCGAAAAATGGCGATGCCACATTAGCATATGGTGTACGCTGTGTCTTGCCTATCGTAATCGAAGGTTGAAAACGGGTGCGTGGAATTGTACGATTATGTCATGGTAATCCGGAGAAGCAACAGGTAACGTGGAATTACGTAACTGCTTGAGAGATTTCGTGACTTGTGCTGGGAATCTATGAAGAATTGTATGATGAACTGTTACAGTGTTTTGTAATTCTGGATTAATTTAGTATACTATTGAGACAGATGCAACTTTGCTTTGTTGTCGTTTAAGCATCAGCAGGTGGTGAAAATGATCTTCACTTTAATTTGCAGAGGGAATTTTTTTTTTTTTGTGTATAATGGTTTGCTTTCTTGGTAGAGACTGGTCTATAAAAATCTTTAAAAAGTTTTCTCTCTCCTTTTATGCGACTCTGGCACGCACGTTTTGAAACGCTTGAAACAGCCTGGAGTTCGCATGTTTGAAACAGTTTTACTGGTCAATTACGCAAACCGACTCGCGGACGTTTTTCTTGAGGAGCATCATTCTCGTGTTTATTGTACACTTCGCTGGCTATCAATGCTAGTAAAAAATGCGGTGATAAGTGAAGAACGTCTGAATTGAATTAACACATAAAGTTTTGAACTGACTCTGGGAATATCAATCGAATTTTAGTTTTCATTCTGAATTTTTCCACGATATAAAAAAATTCCAATTATGGAACAAGACTGGAATTAATTTACATTCTCATTAAACAACATATTTCTGCAAACCTGATAAGTTGTACGATACACAAACTAGGCCGAGATTGCGCAACTATAATGCATAAGTGACTCGTAGCAATTGTATACGCCTGAAGGAAAACACACTCTTGCATGCTCTTTTTTACAGAATACTACTCCTCGAACGTGAAACACGGATCATTGTGCCATTAAGTATATGAAACTCTTGCTCATTGTATTGTTTCTGTGAATTTACGTGCGATACAGCAGCGCTTTTTCTTTCCAGCACATTCACCTACAGCTACATATCATAAATATAAAGTTAATCGTAGAATCCTACATCAATTTTCAATATAATACAAAATTATTTCTCAATAGTCTATTGACTCTGATCATAGGTAACATTCTTTAATAATAAGAAAAAAAGAAGTCCAATTTTTAAAATATTTTTCTGAGTAGAAATCATTATATTATTATTATTATTATTATTATTATTTTTCAAACATATATTTATTATTAATTAAAGTTCTTCTACTAACCAATTCTCCCAACTCTTTGCTAATGTTTCATTTATGTCTTCCGTCAGGTAAACCTAAACGACTCCCTAAACGACCACCTGTACGTACAGCTTTTCCATTTTGCTTATCTCTTAACCTAAACCTACCAAAAAAGGCAAGTACAGGCGAAGGTGTTGGTGCGCCGTGGAATGTAGAAAAGAATGGCCGTGGAAGGAACAGCGACCCACTGGCCATAATATTGAGCCACATGTAACTCTGCTTGTCATTCCATATGCATCTAGCGTTTTCGTCGATGCTTAATGACGACACTACGTGGAAAGATAGCCTTCATAGAGCCCTTCTCTTCTTGTTTCTGAAGGCATTTCCTACAGCCTCCTATAGCACGTTAACCACACCAATAGCAAATTTAGATTCTTACTTCTGATAAAACTGGACTAATCTGAAGAAGCTGCTTCAACTTCTTCGTTTTGCGAAGAAGACATATGCATCAGGGAGAAGTGTGAGAAAAAAGATAAGGCAACCCTAATGAAACATGCTACTGAGGGTTGTTAACTTCCTCAGAGCTACCAGCAATCTTGAGAAATAGTGATAATAAATTTCGAAGAGTATTCAACAAACTGAAAAAGAAATACCTATCTCGTGTATATTGAGATCTGGACACATTATTTCAAGTAACACTCGTGTCTTGGCCGCTCCTTCTTAAATCACGGGGTTGAATGAAATCTTATTTTCCCGTTACATGGAATCTGATTCATGCACGAGTCACGCCGACCGGCGCGGAAAGAGAACGCATTCTTACCTATGCTGCCTTCATCTACCGAATCTCCGGCTATTCCACGGATGTTGTACGCATTGCAGATACGCCCAAATAATGTTCCAAGAAGAATCGAGGTGCACATTGATGCCAAGAAATTCTCTTATCTGATTGCGAGGAACGCGTATGCGAAGAATTTAGTCGCGCCTCGCGATATTCATGTTGTGTTTATCGTTGAATACACGGGCTTTTGTAAAGAAATTCCTGCGGGATGCCAATGGATGTCGGTTGGGTATGCGAGGTTGCGCAACGTATGACATTTAACCTTTTGCGATTTAACAATTTCAACTGTAATTTAAGAACAATTCAAAATTGATGAAAATTTCATGAACGAGATGCTTGATGATCTTGAATTGATTAATTTAATTTGTAGATGATGTAGCAAAAGTAATTACCATAACATTCTTGGACTGAGAAACATGAAAATAATTTCTTTTCAGGAGATACGTTATAATATTAGCTTACCAAGAGATTTAGTTGATGAGGCCATAAATTTAACAATGTGAATAGCAAATAAGAGAAATCGTGTTCAGGAATGCAATGTGGCTTACAATGGACCAACGATAAACACAGCTGAAAGGAATAATTAAAAGAATATAATAAGAATATGAAGAAAGCAATTAAAATAATGGTAAAAGCTTATGCAAATAAAAAAAAGTATAATTGAAAATTTAAAAAAATATAATGAAGAACATAGTAGAAATATTTAATAATAAAACGCGAAACAAAAAAAACAAAAAAAAAAAAAAAAGAAATTCAATCTATTTCTGTGCCAAGAGCAAAAATCAAGACAAGTGGAAAGAAAGAAGAGGAGAAACGACGGTACGGTGTATTGCACGAAAACGTATCGAAAATTTCACCTGGCCAGCAATGGTCGATTTCACGGATAGCAAGACCGTGTCAGAGGCTGAGTCGCACGAGTTAATCATACGCGACGCAAGTAGGTCGACCTGGGTAAAAACAAACGATCTGCGCACGCGGTGGCGCGATACATATAATTGGTCAGCGCATTGCTAGCAGCTCGCAAAGTATAGCAGCAAATCCGACATACATTCCAGCGCGGATCCTGACTACTTACGTTTCACCTCGCTGTGGAATGCAGTCACCTTGTGGCAGGTGTAGCGAACGTCCTCAAACCTCATACTTTCCCCGAAGTATTTGAATTCAAATGTGCCTTCATTGCCACAGGTGGAACCAATCCGGGGATTTGGTTGAATTAATCGCTTTGGTTTAGTCGTCGTAACACTAACTGTTGTTTCATTGATCACTGAAACATTGATTACTGATGTTTATTCTAGAGTTTTTTGATGTCAGAAGAAATAAAATACTTTGGATATTTTCCATTAATTAGTAGGCTGCGAATATTTATGCAAATTCATGTTTTTCAAAACTTACTAGAGAAAAGTAGCATCTAAACGATACTTGTTTTATATATTAAACTAACAGTGAGTTAGTTGTTCTACACTTTTAAATTTTTTACAAATACATAAAAATTCGTAGTTCGTTCATTAATATATTGTAGGAAAATAAGAGAGAATAGAAAATAATAATATTATTAATATTTGTGAGATTGAAATTTGTAGTATTTCTTACGTTTCGTCTATTCAAAATATTAGAATTAAAAAAAAAGAACCAAACACTCATGTATGTGTTAATAGATTAAATTTAATTTTATTTACACTCGTAAATGGCACGTGTTGAAAATTAATATGTTATATAACACAGTGAGGATACTACTATGTTAAGAATGAATAATGAAGGTACTAGCCTTGAGCTGACACATTATACTATCTATACCTCACACTCTTCCTATATAACATAATTCAATGTCTAAATTGTAATAAACTATATTAATAATGAAATCACAATAAAACTACATTGTAAAAATGAAACTAGTAATAGTAAATCTATAAAAATATATAATATTTATATACTTATATATCTACTATTACTATGATTATAATTATTTGATGTAACACAGAGATATTTCATTGGTCGTCCTAAATACCAGACTCGTTGAAAAAAATAAATGAAAGAAATCAATGGAAGGAAATAATTTTGAGTTAGATACATACGAATCAAACTAACGGATCCATGGAATTCATTTACGCGACCTCTGGACGGTCATCTCGCGGTTAAATACGCGAGAGGCTTTCTCCATGGATTGGAATGCGGCCTCTCCCTCTGATCAGGTCTCTGGCTTGCTTCGGGGACAGCCATGAAGGCTTCCAGGTTCGCTCCTTACTGATTTTAGATTCCTCAAGATATCTACATAGCGAAGAATCAAGTTCCGGTTACTTTTTTCTTGAAATGTAGTTAACGAAGTTCGTGCTTTTAATTTAATTGTCAACAACGCAATGTAAATAGATCCTCTGGTCCGCGTATTTTAAATTTCGTCGCATTTTCTTCTGCGTGGCAAGTGTTTGACGGTTCTGGAACTGAAGTTCTGAAGAAATACCCGATTAAACTTCTTTCTCCATTGACTAAAAGTTTTTTAATTACAAGTTTTATGTTTGTTTACTGGTCGTGAAATATAAGCCAGGATTTTTTAAGTCACTGAACATTTAGAATCCATATATGTATAAATTGTGGTTAGCTGATCAGAAGTAGAGTAGATTTTTGTAATTGAGATTCCAAGTTCCGCAAGAGTATGTACTGATACTCCAGTAATTTTAGATTGCGAAATATTACCTTGCTTGGTGACTCAGTAATTAAGCATTTCCAACGTGATAGTTGGCGAAAAATTATCCACGCGTAGAGCCGTTTCGATTGGAGATCAACCGCATACTGCAACGTGATACTGTACACACATGCAAACAGAATTTGGACGTATAAAATAAATAAAAAGAATATCTCCGAATTCTTTATGCTTTCTTTCCTTTGCAATCTTTTAGTCTAAAATTACATTGAATCTCTTAAACTTTGGATTTTTTTAATTCTTGAATCCTTGCATTATTGTGACGTATGTACGTTCTTTTATTATTAACTTTTGAAATCCTTAAATTTTTGCTATCTGAACTTTTTGACTTTTTGAATTTTTATATCTCTGGAAATTATATAGATCCTTATACACTTAAGTTCTTTCAAAATCTGTAATAGATATCTATGAATCCCAAAATTTTAGATCCTTTACTTACTCTTAATTGTTGAATTCTAAATTTTATATTTTCCAACTCCAGGAATCCATGGACAATGGTTCTTTTTTAATTGTTTATATATTTAAACTCCAAATCACTTGGTTCTCATCCTTTTGAAATTGGAAATTTCTTAATCCTTTAAATTTTTGCGCACTGAAATCTTTAAACTTCATTTTCATAATATACTTTGCAATATTTTTCGAATTTTCCATGGCTCCATATTTTGAATGTTATAGATTTCTCAAATTCCAGTTTCTTAAAAAGAATTTATAATTCGTCAAAACGTTGACAGCATTTGGCAAGAAACTTCTACAGGGAGCACAAGACCTATTTGCCAGTCTGTACGCAGCCTAAGGCGCGAATGAACACCACTCGATCAAGCTGTAGGCCGCCGCGTGCCTGGGTAGCTCGCTTTCCATTCCGATCGAAAGGTTTTGCTCTTGCTGTTACAAGTTAAAATGTACAGGCGCTGGTCTAAACAAGAGATGTAATTTGTGCCTGATGAACACTTTTACTATACGAGTAAATTAAACTGAATGAAATTTAGTTTTTGTCTGGAGGATACCCCTTTGTCGATGGATCGACGGTATCGGAATACCGATTCGCCTCGAAGGCTGAATTGCATCAATTTTTCGCGATCAGAAACGCAAACTCGTTGGGCAAGTAGAATTTCGCGATTGGTCGTTGTCTTCTTCTACTTTACTGACCAAAGTCACTTTGCTTCTTTATCATTTTCTTAATCATTTTATATTACAATACCCTTTGCATCTTGATAACGAGTGGCTAAGTTATCTTTAACAATATAATCTGTGAAAACTATTTTAATATCTTATATCACTTTACTATACTGGAAAATCGAGTTTTGATAACCTAGAGATCTTGATTGACCACCTGTCACAATTTCCAAATTTAAGCGTATACGATATATCAGTCAAGATTATTATAAAGATCATACAAAAGATTTTTACACATGACATCGGAGACACCTATAAGGAAAATATTCTTCATAACTTTACAAATACATATACACAATAAATTAGTGAAATATTTCAATGTATCAAACACCAAATTCCAAGATCCACCATAACAAAAAATGAACGATTAAAAATACAAGTTTAATTTTGGCATCTTCATCGTGTCCACGAAATTGAAGACAAATCGGTGACCCGAATATCATATGTTCTCCCTGTCAGAGGGAGCCAGAGAGCGCAAGAAGAGACGTTAAGCCGCCATGAGGCATCGTACCGTGGTGAATATGGAGAAGGGGCATAGAGCAGGTATTCAGGCGAGCGAGTAAGCAGCCTTAAGAAAGCAGGCAGTCTGTAATATGGCGGGGGGGTAAACGTAAGGGGCCGTACGAGAGCGTAAAGTGAGTTTTCGCTCGCGGCTGCTTTGCAATGCCAGGCAGTCGAGGTAAGTCGAGTTGAGTCGAGCAGAGCCGAGCTGAGTCTCTTGGAGTCAGTCTTGGACGTGGCTCCGTCGCATCCCTGACTGTTGTAATATCCTTGTGTACAGCTACCACCTGTCGAAATCGTACGATCTTATCGTGCATCGTCGCAGTTGACCGCTTAATATCGAAATGACTACGTTCTGAAGTCACGTCTTTCGAGCATTCAGTGAATCATCGTGGTTCACCGATCAAGTGTGCGGACACACGTTTACTTTTCTTGCATCTTGCCAACAGCGAGACTGGAATCAATCGCACGATCTTGTTGTTTCTTTTTCTGGCAGACGATGACGTTGCCACAGAGGCGCGTCGTCTGAGAGCTACAGTATTCTTTGGTGCAGTGATTTTGTGTGTGCATGACCGAAGGATCAGCTGAAAGCTCGCCGGATAATATTCAACAGGTAGGAAGACTTGGATCTTTCTTGATGGCTCGATAAAGCCACTGCGCAGTTTGTGCGATTTTTCTGATTTTCTCTCTTTTCACTAAACATTTATTTAGTGAATCATTGTATAAAGATCATACCAGTTGTTTACGAACTTGAGATTACTCAAGAAATTATTGACGTGGTTGTGCAAAGAAATCGAAAGAGTGTACATATCGAGAATGTACATGTTCATTTTCAGGAGAATAATTCAACGTTATATGGAAACTAATCTCAAGATAATCGATCAACTGGAATAAGAGCTGTTAGATCGATTCACCGCGAAGAACGTTTCGTCTCTCTTCCTTTTTTTTTTTTATTGACGCGCGCTTCCTGCATCATCCATCGCATCGTATTTGTATTCTTCCCCGCGTATCCTACAGTAATATCGCATGTATGGCGTAACAACTCATTATACATAGAATGCCGGTGAGAGGAAGTTTAATGGCACCAACGTCATCGGCGTTCCTCGCCTCTTCGTTTTTCTTAATTATGCCTGAAGAAATTGCGACTCTAGCATCTGCATAATTCTGTATTGTAAGCTCGTTCATCCTCCTACATCCTGATTATGCGCATTCGTTTCATTTTAACCTCTTTTCATGTTCGAAGCAACATCGTCGACATAATTTATTATTATCATCTGACCGTCTACGTATTTTTCCATGAATTGTTGGTACTTGGCAAAAGTCTTTTTCCTGGTCATTGCATTCTATTTTTGAAATTCGTTATTTCGCTTCATCACATTGTTTCTATCGTGCGACATACCACCGGATCGCGTAATATCCTCCGTTGGTGAAAATCCCACTAGACAGCGAAAACTGAATGAAACGAGCATTCGCTAGCACCGTCGGTTGTTTTCTACAACACGTTAAGAGTGGCGCGATAGTACACTCTTTATGACTCCGTAATTTCGCTTACTCTCGCCATCACGCTGTGGATTTTCTTTTCTTACTCTCTCAGGAGAGATCTCGCATCAATGAGAACAATCAGTCACTGTGATATGCTTAGAAATGCCACCATTTTCTCCTGTCAATCCGAGAAATGTTTCTTCTTTTTCTACATTTTTGTCATTGCTTCACTATTTCACCTGGACTGTTTTGGCATTTCAAGTTTGGCATCAAAATTTTGCGTACACATAAATTTGTCGGACATCCACTTAATTCTTCTTTCAACTATTATTCTTTTTCTTGCTGTGAATATAATCGTGAATAATAATGAAGATAGGTTAGAATTTCTTGGAAAATTAATTTAAGGCAATTAAATACACTTATATTCAAGTGCAAATTAGTTTTGAAGCTCATAGCATTTATCGCTTGCACGTCACCTTACAACTTTTTTTTTCTGTTTCACACAGTCTCGAGAAAAGTATAGTAAAACAATATGCAATCGTGTGATTATGTACATACTCGCATAGGAACGTAGAATGTAAACAGAGGAATCCGAGAAAGTTTTGTCGTGCAATCTGTTAACTACGTAGTTCTGTTGAAAGTATGTTTACTGTTCTTTTTAGAAAAAAAAAAGAGAAATACATATATAACCATGGTCTTCGGAATTTGATGTATACATCTTAGGATTTTGTAATATTCCAATCAATCTTGTTAAAAATTTCTTATTCGATTACCAAATTAATTACCATCCATAATTTATATTATTCTTAATTTATACTTAGAAATCTGAAAGAAAATCTTTTTCAAATCTTTTATAACCGTAATTTTGATCATTACCGATTATTATGTATTTAGTGTTCTCTCATCAATTTACGTTATCCCAAAAGGGATCGACATGAGGGCAGAAAAGAAGTTAAAACATTTTCTCAAGATCACACATAAGATTGGGACACATAGGCGGCATTTAGAGCGCGAACAAGTAAAGCAGACACGTCGTCGTTAAGGACAACGACATCGGTGTTCACTGGAATGTCAACTTGTTTTCCACGAGCTGTCCAAGGATCGTTTTCCCTGCGTGGCTGTCTCTTTCCCCTCTTCTAACTCCGTGGTTCAGCTCTTACCTCACCTTCTACTTAACAGCTACACGAGTCGAAACTCCACGCAAAAGTGCGCTGTTCATCGACACTGTCCCATCGACTGAAATGTTAATTAATCCCTTCTCCATTATAACCGAATCCCTAAAAATTTCTAATAACACAACGATATCAAGAATTAATTTCATCTCCTAAAATATAAATTAACATATTAATATCGTAAAATAATTAGTTGAGAGACATAATGGTGTAAATTATTCCGCCGCTATTTTATAAAACAGCGTTCTGCGTTTATTCCTATACAAAATTTATCATATCTTTTCATGTTATGGAAACTTGTCTTTAGCATCTTTCAAAAGTCGCAGGAACTGTTGATTTCTTGGAATTGACGATCGAGAAAACAATCTATGAATTCTATCTTGATGAGATAATTTCTATTTTTGCCAATATCGGAATTCGTAGACTCCGGATCTGAAGTAGAGAATAAAGGTTAAGTTTCATTGAATACCGAGATGTACGTATCTTACACTATTCACAATTTCGTAACGATTATGAGTTGCTTTTAAAAACAAATGGAAGAGCGTGTCGCGTTAGAGATCGAGATTCCGCAGAATGTCAGGTTTCCACGAGGCGAGAAAAAAATACCCTATACGCGAGCCTTGCAACTCCGTTTCCTCCCATTCCTTTTAAACCTCCTCCTTCTCCTCTCTCACTCCAGCAGTATATCCTCCCACTACCAACACTCATCTCCGCTAGTCCGCTAGTGAATTGCACCTTCCAAGTAGAAGTTGCGTACTTCGTCGATGAGGCCGTCCTGAGGCCATTCTGAGGCCTCGGTGAGGCCACATTGAGATTCCTCAGAAGGAGATCCGATCCCTGGTGTCGCAATGTGCGTAGAAACGGTTGTCGTAATCTTTCACGAATATATTAATTTTCATCAACTTACACGTGCCCAATAGTCGTAATATTCCTTAATTAATGATTCGACTGTCCTTTTTTCGTAATTAATAATTCAACTTCGTTTCAAGGTACACTGTCGAATTTGCAACATTTGTACAAGTTTTTGATGGATAGAATGAAAAGATACTGCCTTTAAGATCATTATTTTAAAAGTTATGCATATTGTAAAATTTAATAAGGCGAATTTAATATTTTTGCCGTGTAATAAAAAATAAAAATAGGTTACAAATTTGATGTGCCCCAAAATAAAATTTAATTAATTAGTATATCTCAGTTTCTTAACAATTGACATTACTCATCTCAATAACAATTCATCTTATATATCTTTGTTTCGCTAAACCCAGAATATTATTTGTTATAGATATAATTACCATTTGCTGAAAACGTTGTGCCGCATGCATGTAGATATTTTAGTATTTTTTCGTTGTTATCTTGTTACAACATTAGTCAGCACAGGATATAACATCTCTTTGTGAGTCAATTTTTCAAGAAGATTATTTCTTTGGCGTTGTTAAATTTCACATCTCGCTTGATGAATTGTTATAATTATTTCTTCCATTTATCTTGATGCACACATCTTTCGTCCTTACTCTTTCGTTCCTCGCGGCTAGCTATTTGATTTCACGTTTGTTCCTTCGTTTATCACGAACTGTCTCCTTTTCTCTTTGTTCCAAGAACCATCACTGTTGCAATAACCTAAATTAGAAATGTTATACTATAAGAATTTGTATCTTAATTTAAATAATTTTGATTATTTTGTCATCAGAAATCATAATCAGCGATAGAAATTATTTCTTGTTGTCAATAACCATAAAAATATCTTTGTTGCTAGTAATCATTGCAGAACAAAATTTTTTATTCGTTATATATAACCGTTTTTTAACCGTTATAACGGTTATTCGTAACCAGAACGCTTAAAAATTAATATCTCAGTTATTTGATTTTTTTTGAGAAATTTAAAATTCAATGATTATTGCCCTCCATAAAGACGAGAATTACCTTTTCCTCAATGACACTATCTTTCTTTTCGTGCAAAAGATTTTAAAAATAACTGTTATTTCTATCTTTCGTTCATTCCACTCTCGAGTTCGTGCCGCCATTTTTTATTATCTGCGCGCGCTTCTATAGTCTATCCTTGTCTATCACATACGATTACGCTCTCACCAATCTGAGAGAGAAAGAAATATTTCACATGCCAGTTCATGATTCGTCCTTCCGATCGAGAAACCGTTATGCTTTTCTTGAACGATCATGGGCTATCTGTAATTTTTCACGTAATCGCGATCCTTTCGAAAAAGGAAAACACAAATACACGTTGCAATTCGATCTACTGGTTTCTCGTTGAGTCTTGTTATTATATCATTCTGAATAGATAGAAGTAAAAACTAACGCATACTTATATGATGAATCCGTAAAAAATAAATATGCTTCAATCCTGATCTTCGGGATTTATGCTTTATGGTTTATGAATTTACGACACTGAATTAATCCTGAGTCGTAAATTTAATATCAAATAAAATACACACTTAATTTGGAAAAATTAACACATTCTTTTTGTGCCATCTTTTATAAGTTAAAATACAGGATATTCGAGAGATTATCATAATTATTATTTTTATTAATATATTTGTCAGTTTTTATTAAAAAACAAAAGGTTTAATCAAATTTTAGCCTTCTGTTTCTGATGATTGTCTATATACGACTGTATATTGCAGAAAGTTCACATACATGTGTAATTTTAATTAACTATATTTATTAATGAAGATATTTACCTGCTCTGGTGTTACTTTCACCTACTAAATGAAATATTTATAAATCTTGGCATTTATAAATCTCTTCTTAAAAATTAACATCTGAAAATATTGATTAATATCAGACTAACTACTTTCGAAAATATAGATTAAAGTTACAAAAATTTTGATATACTTCTTTTGATTAGTTAATTTACAACAATTTATTCGATATTGGTTGTTGAAGAACAAGTTTGCACGAACGTCAGAAACTGGCCTCGCGTATATTTGCACACGGCAATTATCCATAAGGGGCTGTTTCAATGTAGTTTAGCGTTATAGAGCAAAGCAACCGACGAAAAAGAAATACGTCGTCGAAATGTCCATACTTGTTAGGAAAAGTGAAACGTTACGAAGACTCGACCAACGAGCTAAGAAATTCCTTCTATTTTCAGATTATTGACCTCACCGAGACGCGAAGGATTAATTAATGAAGGGTGCCCATGCCGAGAATCAGGAAAAATCAGCTAGAGGGGCTTAGGAGTGTGAGAGGAAAATTCTCAGAGCGATTCACTGCGTGGAATTCAGCAAAAACGACGAGGCTGTGAGCGTATCGCCACGTTCAACCTTGAAAATGTCATCGAATACGTGTTCCACGATTGTGTTGAGACTGATCCTATTGATATTAACAGTGGTATCGTTCAGAGAAGTGCACGGACACGTCGCGTTGACTTTTCCACGCGCGAGGAAGTATGACTTGGATTTTCTGGACAACGCCAGAACACCTGGTCCATGTGGAATGCCTCGTGGTGAGTGTTTCTTGTGTAATTATCATTTATATAGAGATGTCTAAAAATAAATGGCTGAATTTACAAAGTACAATTTGTGTAAATACCAGTGTGAAGATGTATTTAATTGGTATGAAATATAATATGGTATATCGGTTTCTTTTCTTAGAGCAATGGTACTGCAGTAAATCTTGACCTCCTTAGTTTCAAGCTTGTCAGATTGACGTACATATCATTAAGATGATGTAATAGCTGCTGGATTGATCCTGAAATTAATTAGCCAATTATTAAAGAGTGTAGTATGACGACTATAATAAATAAAATAAAACAACGTCATATATTAGATACTCAAGGAAATGATCTTGGAATTTACAAAATACATAAATCTTCTCGTTATGTTATTTAATAACACATCATTTTATAACATAATATGCTACAAGTCAATCGTATCATGTCAGGAAATATGTAACTCAGTCAAAGATTCTAATTTTCTAACAAAATTCTCAAACAGCAAGCGATTGCAGAAAGAAGAACCATGAATATCATTGAAATTGCATAGTGTCTCTTTTCAAGCATGCCCTGTCTTTTCTAATAAATAAATTAGGAAAAGCCGAGTCTTGTGCCTTCCCTCCCGACAAATAGAAAAAACGACTCGGTGAAATTTAAAACGATGCATCGTACCATGCATGAATCTCAAACGACAACGAATCTCATTTGATAATATTGCCGATTATACAATGTTATCAAGATGCAAACCATACGTTACACGATCTATGAACCGGAAATTGGCTTGTGTAAATTTTTGCAATCTTCTCAAGGACGATAACGATATAGTTACAAAGATTACGTAGACAAAAGAGGTGAAAAGAGTCTATGAAAGAATAACATTAATACGAAGATATGTCCTGATGGGAACAGCTTGCTAGTCTGATCGAAAATGACTTTCACCGACTTGCACGAAGAGAACTCGAATCTCGGTTGCTTGGCCATTACCTTCCACGTGTTACCTCCGCGGTGCACGTACCCTTTTTTCTCCTCACGAGCTCTCGCGTAGTCGCGGAAAGTACGTGAACTTTAAATGCATCGTTGTTATCTGGATAGAAGGACGTTGCCGAGAAAAGAATATGCCGCAGCTTGGGAATATCACCGCAGGTTTTTTACAAAATTACAAACGTAAAAAGATCTTTAATAGCAATATTGATCATGCTACTGTAGATGACATTGTTCCCATATGTAGTAGTCAATCTCCTAATCCATATAAAATTGTGTTTTATCTAAAAAATAAAACCATTTTTATTATTTCACTCTCGGCTCATAAGTGCTTCAGTCGTGAAAAAATAGAAAGTGTCTATCGTAAGAATTTCAATTTCTTGTTTACTTAAAAAAAAAACCTTCAACTACCGTAGTATCGTATGAATTATCGTTGTAAAATAAACATATATATATATGTTAGATTTATATAGTTATAAAAGATTTAAAAAGAATTTTGTTCTTTTTTTTTTTAATATTTGTGCTATCTTGAATCTCTACACATATGCGTATAAATTGGTTGTAATTCTGTGTTTCTCCAAGTCGATACTGTCTGAACAGTCTCTAACAATTTAATCGACGGCAAGTTTAATACCGAGCAAGGGGAATGCGAGCTTTCTTTTCGGAGAGAAGTGGGGAAAAAGGAAGAGAATCCATAAAAGGATTGGTCGTGGAACGCGAACTGTTGCTGATCCACTACCGGAAATTAATTATACATTGTGCTACTCTCGATTTTTTCCGGAAATTTATCCTCGATATAATACGATACTAACGTAAATTATTATCTTGTCTTCAAGCAAATTAAGAATGTGAAATCGCTGTTTTCATAACAACTGATACGATTATTGATACGAATAAGTATTCGCCTTTATGCTAGTTTTCTCTCGCACTTTATATGTAATTGATTTTATGTAGTCTTTTAATGATAAGAACTATTTCATGTTTTCAAAATAATTGCTTGCTATAAAGAAATAAAACAAATCGGTAAAATGTTGAATATTCAATTGTGTGTAGAAGAAAACGAAAATAAGAATTTACCTGAATATATTACGGAGTTCTTCATATAGATTTATATATTTATCACATATGTGATGAAACAGGAACAGAAAATGTGATTTTTCTGTTTCTTTTTTCATTTTCTGACCAGTCGTAGATAGGAGTAATCGTACTCAAGATTTCGCTGATCTTCCTGCACACATGTTTCCGGTGATTGTCATAAATTATAGTGTCTCGTTACTCTAATGAATATTAACTTTTCATTGTCTGTAAGGTTCCCCATTTAAATCGATGATCATGAGAAATTACATGTTTCCGTACGACGAGCGATCGTGAAAATTTGTATAGAATAGCGCGCGCAACATAATTGCATAATGCGCTCATTTTTGTTGCAGGCGATATTAAAACTACTTTACTATCTGGGAGTAACTTCAACGTCACGTGGCATTTAGCTTATCCTCATCGAGTAAGTACATGATATTCTTCATATCTTAACCCGTTTAATTAAATGTAGTAAAGAAAAAAAGAGAGCTATAATGTTACCAACATATCTTTATGATAAAACTCGTTCATTCCTTTGTGTCTTAAAGCGACTTTTACTCTGGTTATCTGAAACTGAATTTTATTAGCCAGTGTTAAAGAAAAAAAGAAAGCTGTAACCGTTGCACCGAAACCAGTCAATAATTGCCACAATATGTGGCTTTAAGCTAAATACGCGCTTATATTGAACATGCATGGCTGGGAAAGGCTCGACAAATATATAGGTGCTTGCAGTTGTTCAAAGAAAAAAACAAAAACGTATCAACAGTTATGTGAGAAATGGATAAAATCATACAATACCATGCTTTATTATTGTGTGGACTTTCTCCGATATGGAAACTTTCTGCACGAGTCTTTCAGCTCGCCTGATTATAATCTTGGTTGTTCACGTGTTACGATTGAAAGGAATTTACACACACTTGACCAATCTGATTATCTGTTATTTAACTTATTATAGTCCTCCACCACCAATGAGCTATTAATGCGATATTGCTGTAATTAGCACTCAGTAAACTTTAGTTACTTAACCAATATGTTTTCAATGCGAAGATGCGATTATGACTCATCCTCCTGGAAAATACATGGAAGGATTTTAAAACATTTCGTAACACGACTTCTGTATTGAGGCTTTAGAGATATGCTAGAAGATTGAAGAATAATACTTCGTAAATTACGTGGGAAAAGTTCTAGAATTCTTGAATGAATAAAATTAGTCACTCATCTTTGTATGATCGAGAGTTGCTCGAGACATTATCAATCAGTTATTGATGTTTCTGTTTTTGCCATCGCTCTTCATATAAAACTCTTCTTATTTTTCATCTGTATACATGTTATAAAACTTCGGTTAAAAATAAATCGAAGGTAAATCAATGTATTCATCTTTTCCAAACAAAGGAAAGTCATAGTAGTAGCTTAAAACTTAAGGAGTGTTCGTGAGCCAAGCGCAGTATCTGATTGACGTAGTTGGATATTCATATTCTTCTCAACGCGTCGCATGGACTGCCTAAGTCATCGTGAAAGACATCACGAATTTGTCCGCACGTGTACAAAGGGAAAAAAAAAAGATAGAAACAGAGGGCGGCCTACACTTGCACGTCGCCGCTCAAGGTGACGCTCGCTGAATAATTCAAAGGTGAAGCTTGATGTAAGTTCGAGGTGCTTCGCGTATACCTTACGTAGATAGATAGGTCGGAAAAAAGGTGGTGAGGAATATATGTAAACCGCTTTGCATGTGAACGTGTACACGAGAGAGCAGCCTGATGCTCGGTGGAACACATCGGTATGTCGGGTACCGTAACTCGACTGTCGCCAATGAGTCAGATCGTGCAAAACCGAAACCTTTAGATCCATTACTAGAAAAATAGTCGAACCACGGACCAACTGTGAAATAAATCAACCGCTGCATTAAAACTAAAAGACGCATAGCACTACGATAAATGAAACAATTAAAAAGTCTTTACTAACCATTCACTTGTATTTTACTTCATTATAAGTTAACTCAAATAACTGGACATTTACAGAAATCTTTTATGAATATATTACGGTTGGTATACCTGTAAAAATATTTTGAAATTTTAATGGAATTGTAACAAGATTCTATTATCATGAGAAAATTAAAAGTACGTGTAACACATCCACAAACATGTTTTTGCAAAAGGTTTTCATACACTTTGAGTTTTCATACACATATACATATATACATACGCAAATATTTTTCACTACATGTATTTGTTAATACCTTTCTCACAGAAACTTCAAGGTTAGGTATTTCAACTTTTCGAAATCTACGCCTATGCGCATGTCCCTAAATGTCGTTATGATATCTGAAACGTAAATGCCCGGATTTTGCATTTAAATCATTTTTGAGCAACGTAATTTTCAGTTTATCTAAAAATATGCGCATTTCGAAACTACCTTTCGCGCCACATCGGATCCCTGGCAATCGTAATCAACTTCGTGCCGATATATACACATTACCTATACAGCCATCGTTGTGGTTTCTTTTCCCGAACGACTGGTTTCAAACCGGCGCGGCCATAAACTTAAATGCCTCGCAAATTTCATTCGTGAAAATATCCGTGGTACGAGAAAAATTCGACAATATAACGCTGCAGCAACCGGCTGCAGGTGTGTACCGAAGCAGTACCACTTTGCAAAACTGCCTTTTCCCGTTCTCCTTCTCCTTCTCCTTTCGAGTGCCAGTATAATCGTATGCTACTCGAATATTTCAAACTCTTTGCCGTGAATCTTTGAACAGGGAACTTTCATCAAGAGTATCAACTGCCCTATCTCTTTTGTAATACCAATCGAAAACACTCGTCAATCTGAAAAATTAAACTAATTAAATCAATTTAATCTTGCTGTATCGTGAAATTACAATCCTGAACCTCTCGTTAGCAGGAAACCAACTTAGGAATAAATCTTCGTTTGGGAAACTAACGTATTGAATAAGTAGTAACATTTGGTACTTAATGATGGTACTTAATTACATGGGTGGTAAAACTAAGAAATTTCTAGAGGGCAGTGTCAGTCAATTTATATTTCAATCAAATTCCACGGACACTCGCTTAAGAAGTTACCGATCGATATCGATGAAAAATCATTGACAAGAGTTTTCAAGCTACGATGACGGTGAGGAATGCGGTTAACAATTAGAAAACGCGGCACGTAGAAGAAAATGAACAATATTATTCTCGGATAAGAGTCGGCTAATAACGGTTTTGTACCGCCGATCTTTGTACAGGTGTCAGATTGACATCGGCGATCATTAAATTAACACCTGTGTCGTATTACGTCGGTGCTCGTTGCAAGACACTGATCTATCCCATGGCGTGTCTCTTCCTATTTCCAGTTCGGTGGACGTTTCATAAAACTGGTGATTTCATAACGGACGCATTCGTTAATTACACTAGAGAAATTACTAAGCTACTTACAATCTTTCTCTTTCTCTTCGTTTTGTTTCACTTTTTGGACACGACCAATGGAACAGAAGGCCGGTTTCTATGTCACGGATCCGCGATAAGTTGATTCGATACCGCTATCCGCACGTACGATCGATGTCTCAACGTCCTCTTCACCGTTTCTTGCTTCCGACACGGTCGCAGTGAAAGAAACTGCCCGGAAGTTCACTCACTGGAACTAAAATGATATTGCTTATTATTTACCCGCGATTCCAAACATAAATCAAACGAAATTAATGTCATTCTATCAAGTTGAATGTAAATTTAAAATATTTCCTACTTACCGCTCTGTTGCGGATTGTTTATAGGATTGCCAACTTTTGTGTTTTGAATGTCTTTTGGAAGACATTATTATATAAAAGGGGTGTACAGACGGTTCCTTTTATGATTACTTTGTCAACTTTATAATAATTTTAGGGTGGATTTCGACTGCAAATTCTGGATGCTCTTGATAGACCATTGGTTGACCTGACTCCTGTGACTAAAAATAGCGAATTCGTGGAAGACGATGCCACGTAAGTGAAAATTATTATTTTACTCTAGTCTTTCCGGTTTCAATTATGTTTTTCGTATTTAAGCAATGAATTATTGTTTTTCAGAGCGCAGAATTACGCTGTACAATTACCACAGAATTTCACGTGCACGGACTGTACGATCCGGCTCCTCCGAAAGGCCGAGGAATGGGGCTCGAGTTACAGATTTTGGTCTTGTGCCGATATCGATGTAAGAACTCTATTTTTATATTAATAACAATAAAAGAAATTGTAAACTGTAAAAAAAATAGATATAAAATGATATTAAATAATATCAGTTATTTGGTAGAACGCGATATGCAAAACAATTTTCCCGTTATGCTGTATTTACGTTGAAACATTCCATTTAGTATCGCGGTCCGCTGATACCTTATAATTTATTTTCCGTTAGATCATCGACAGAAAGTCCTACAGAGAGGACTGCAGCGGTCACGGTCGATATCTGCTAGGTCGATGCAGATGCGATCGACTATATCACGGTACAAGGTGTGAATTTAAGGAAGAATGTCTGGACGATTCGGATTGTGGTATTCAGGGCACGTGCATTGACAATGGCGGCACGACCGCGCCCACCAAGCATTGCTACTGCAACATTGGTTGGTTCGGGCCGGGTTGCGCAAAGAGTAAGATTCGCCAAAGTCGATCAAAAACTCATTCTTACACTATAGTTTCCAAATCATTTGTAATCTATTCATTAAGAAACAAGAAGGATACATAAATTGATATTAAGTCTTGAAATATGTACAAAAGAGAATTAAATGTGGCCGTGCTTTTTAGGATCTCCAATCAAAACCATCGACGTAGAATTAGATGCCTACACCATGAAAAAGTTCTCTGACAATTTCACTTTTTATTGGCGGATATTAAAAGAGAGCAAAGAGCTGGAAGGCATTATGGTAGTAAACGGTACAAGCTGGATTGGTGTTGGATGGCGACCGAGTGACCTAACGCCAGCGTGTCGGTCCTTTCCCGAAATTCAAGAACGTCCAAAGGGGGAACCACTTCCACGGCCAGAACCAAAATCAGAACCAGAACCTGAACCCAAATCGGAGCCCGAACCTGAACCTGAACCCGAGCCTGAGTTTGGAACTGAAAAATCAGGTACCAAGAGAAGATCGGCCAAAGCTCACGACGTACGTTCACTGGCTTCAACTCCTCGATCTGACGTCGATGTTACAATCCAAACTAGTGTGACATATCGTGTCAGTACGAAGCAAGGTAAAACGTTAAAAAAGTTTGTACATGTATGTTTAACTTAGTAAATTTATATACAAAAGGTGTTAAATAACAACTTTATGTTTATACAGGACGTAAAAAGAGATCGCCAGGTTCTACAGGAATTTTCACAAATGGTGTGTATTAACATTCCGGTATTAATTCCGGTATAGAACAAGAAATCCCCCGCTTTCTATATTTACGTAGTCGTAACGTTGTGGTACGCTTTCCAATGAGCAGTAGAGTATTTGGCGTCCCTATTTTTTTATATTTGAGACACTACGCACAAGGTGGTGGTCTGTAAACGATAAGTAGTAGGTAGCCGGCACGACGATCGATGCTTTCTTGCACAGGGGAGCCCGTCGCCGAGTTGAGCACTGTCGACAGCACCAACACCATGTCCGAACCCATGTCAGGACCGAAATCCGAACCTGAACCAAGTTCAGAGCCAGAGCCCAAATCCGAACCTGAGCCAAGTTCAGAACCAGAACCCAAATCCGAACCTGAGCCAAGTTCAGAGCCAGAACCCAAATCCGAACCTGAATCAAGTTCAGAGCCAGAACCCAAATCCGAACCTGAGCCAAGTTCAGAGCCAGAACCCAAATCCGAACCAGAATCCAGCTCAGACTCAGAACTAAAATCTCATTCAGATTCAACTAACGCTGAACCAAAAACAAAAGCAGAAGCCATTCTGACTTCAGAGACACAATATGAACATAAGCCAATATCTCGTCCAAAATCTACTTCTCAAGTTAAATCGAGATCACAAGCGGAACCAAAATCCGAACCAGAACCCAAATCCGAACCCGAGCCAAGTTCAGAGCCAGAACCTAAATCCGAACCTGAGCCAAGTTCAGAACCAGAACCCAAATCCGAACCAGAGCCAGAGCCGAAATCTGAACCAGAACCAAAGTCCGAACCGGAACCCAATTCCGAACCAGAGTCAAAATCTGAACCGGAACCTAAGTCAGAGCCGGAACCAAAGTCTGAACCAACCTCGGAACCGGAGCCGATCTCGGGCCTTAAGTCAAGCGCAACGAAAGGTAAAACAAGCTAATGAGGCGTTTCAACCGCTTGTTTCTCCTCGTACATATTGAGCTTCACATTGTTGTAATTAGTTGACGATTCATACCTAAGAATACCTTCAAACTTTGTGTTTGAACCAATTTTCAAAGTTAATTTCTTATAATTTTATCACTATTCAGTCCTTTAAGGATACGTGGCAGGAATATTTTGTAAAGTACAATAGAAATAACATGCTTCGTAATTGAGTAATTTATAGTATTTTAAATAGATAGGTGTGAAATGTTCGTCAACTTAATTGACAAAAATTAGAAAAACATAATATTGTAGATGAAAAATACTTAACGAAACAGTAGATTTTGTATTACGTATAAAAAAATAATTTAGATTAAGTTAATATGATGTATTTACATAATTAGTAGTATTGATACTAACATACACGTGTCTAAAATGAAATGTCTAATGGAAGCATTATCTATAGGATAGATAGTGTTTTTTACTTTTAATTTGTATTTACTTTTGTATGAACTCCCCCTTGTTGTTTTCACATAATGACCTAATAACTTTTATGTAAGTGCACCTGCACTTGAAACACTGTAATATAAATTTTTCACTAATATATGTACACATTTTATGATAAACATTTCAATGCTGCAACAGGGAACTTCATAAATTATCATTCATTAGTTCAAATCGACCGTGTCATAAATCAATGATATCTGTAGATCATTTGAATCTAATCTGATGTTTTGTGATCAAAGCTATTCTACCCGGAGCGCACAAGTACGTACCGAAACACGATTTCAATCCCATGGATTGCACAGACATCATAATAGGATCAGCACGAGGCAACAGTCACAGGATTGGCGATTATTACACCAGAGACAGATCTACACCAAGAAAAGACGATTATTGGGGCGGAAGAGACACTTTGACCGCTGCTATGGGCTTCGAACGTGACGGAGTTACGACGATACTCTTTCGAAGAAAATTGACAGCAAATGAACCAACTGACCACGAAATTATTGATGGTGATATGCAAGTGATATGGGCTAAAGGACAAGAACCTGGAAATTATATTCATCATCCACCGAGTGGCATTGAGAAAGCCAAGGTCAGTGTGAAGGAATTTTACAAGGCTGATGAACTTAAGTATCACGGACACGGAGCACAAAGAGGAACAGTAATTCTTAATTTCTTTGGTAGGTTTAAGTCAAGATTAATTTTGTATAATTCAGTTTGGATGAAATTTGGTGTTAATTAATGATTTATTAATATCTTCAGATGAAAAGAAAAAACAAGAAATGACCAGTGATGGGGATGTAATGGCGCCAACTGCGAATTGTAATGGTGAATGGCATTATCCAAGACATTGCTCACCTGCCAATGGTTCCTGTGAATACTCTATTCAGTGGACTTACAAGGGACGAAAGGTAATTCCCTATATAATAAAGAGAAATTCCTGTATTTATCTATTGTATCGATTATCTCTCTACAGGATCAGTTATCGTTTGTTATTTCCACTACTAATACGAATACTTGGACCGGCGTTGGGTTCTCTGATGACGAGAAAATGGTATGCATTAACATCATAAAATTCGCTGTCTCCACAAAATTAGCTAACGACATAATATTATCAAATACTTTCCATTACTGCATTATAATGTTCTTTCTATTCTATAATAATCAATTAAAATAAATTTAAGGATTGATATTTGCTTTGCTTCCCATTATTAGTCGCAGACAGACGCCGTGTTAGGTTGGGTCGACGAGAAATCAGGTCGTGCTTTTCTCATGGACACTTGGATCAGCGGATATAATGCTCCGTTGCTCGATCCGTCTCAAGATATCTATAACACAGGTGGCAGTAAAGTGGATGGTGTAACGACGCTCAAATTCTCGAGAAAACGGATAACAAAGGACAATAGAGATCTTTCATTCACGGACGATCACTGCTTGTATATGATGTATCCAGTCAAGGGTGGTATCTTTAACGCTGTCAACAAGAAAATACGTAAACACGATGCCATACCCGTTGTCTCCGCTGAAAGGATATGCATAAAATCTTGTGGCCCCGAAGGTTATTCTTTTGTTTCTATATATGTATTACAATCAGTATATTATTTGACTGAAATCCATTTCTCTCTCTTTCTCGTGTACAAAATGATTTTAGATCAATATGATTGAATAACAGAAATATTCTAAAAATTTTTTTTATTTTTGCAGAACTTGAAGATCTTACAACACCAGCCCCACCGAGATTGCATTACGATGTAGAAGTGAAACTCATAAATTTAGGTGACGGTTTTATGACGCCTACTCCTGGTAGCCCAGACTTCGAAATTATCTCGAACAGGATATCTGAAAGTTTCGGTCCAGTTTTTGACAAATTGTTGGGCTATTGTCAAATTCGTCTCAATGAATTACAAAAGTAAGGATCTTTACGATACGTGTTATTTTATTTATTGAATATATTATTCAATATTGGACGTATTAATACGATTTAGGGACGATGAACAAAATGGTGTTATTGCCCGCATGGATCTGATCTTAGATAAAAACGAAGTGAAAGGTAGATCACTGAAACCCGTAGACACCGGTGTGATCGCGGAGAAGGCATTAAAAGAAGCTCTCGTCAAAGGAAAAGTCGGTGCATTAAGCGTGGATCCGCAGTACTTGATCATTAGAGCTCCTCGAGGTATATGAAACATTTTACTATTATTAACTTTCAGGTTAACTCATAACTACAACTATCTTCTTTAATGAAATATTTAAAAATTATCGTTGGCTATTGTCAGTCGAAATTCTATTTTTAAACATTTAAAGTTTAAATTCGAAACCTTGAAGCAATAATTATAAACCGATTAAGTTTCTTTGCAATGTTGTATTTAATTCGATACTGTACTTTCTCCTCCGTTCAATCGAGGAAAGCGTTATCATTACAACAGATTTAACAAAGCGTGTTTATTATTAGCGAAAAGCTAACTCCATACAGTACGTATAGTCGTATTATTAAATGTATTAAATAACATGTAAGGCATCGATCCAACCTGAATATTTTATGTTTTGTTTTGGTCACTAGTGAATGATTTAGGTGATGAAGATCTGGATGAAGATATGTCATTTAAATCAGACCTGTTCCTTGACGCAACGAAGCTATATATTGTCGTCGGATGTGTTGTTGCCTTAGTTGCTCTTGCTCTACTCCAAGCAAGCTGTACTCTCTACAGATCGTCAAGGAGGCGAGCGACAAAGGTACAATATATTATCATTTTATGTATTTATACGTTGTTTTTTTTTTTTCTTAATCCTTGTTTTACATAATATCTTTATTTCTCTATTTTCTGTTCGCGGCCTAATTACCTTTTCCTTTGTATTGTGTGTGCATCTAACTCTTTTTATAAACATCTTAGCGCTGTGGTATGGTCTAAAGCAATGCTGATTCTCAATCTGAGCGTGCCTGTTGAAAGTAATTCCATTTGTTACTTCGATTCTCGAACCTATTGTCAGAATCTCAATTTGCAATGAAGATTATTCGTTTCTTAGAATTCTGTTGACTACTTAAGAAATATGGGCATGCTCTCTGAATGTATGTACCCATCGAAATTAATCAATACAAAATGATGCTTTACTCGAAATTGCAACAGGTCTCTTTTTAGCCTCTTCTTAAATGTTCACACGCTCTGCAAAAGTGTAATATGAAAGCTCCATTTTTGAATGATTTTTAGTTTTACTTTGGTAAAAAAAAAATATATATATATATATATGTTCTCTTGTAACCGAGACGTATAGAACTAGACACCAGCGAAACTTTAGACTGAACTTTTCACTACTACTGCTCCACTCTTATGAACTCGAAACGATCTTCTGCTTCGCTTGTGTTGCATGATTCGCGCTCTTCGCGACCATCGGTGTAAAGAGGGTGTACTCGCTGCCTCTGGCTTCTTGTGACGCGCCCAACCCGATTCATCGCACGAACGCGACGCGGTATCATCGACAAAACGGCGATCACCATCACCGTCATCACCACCATCATCTTCGGCATCACCACCAACACGCTCCGTTCGAAATGCATCGTCCTAATCCCAGCTGGTAGAAGCTTCACATTCTGTATACGATCGGCGCGCTAATCATTACTCATCCTTCGCTCGTTTGCTCACTAATTCAGGTATTTCTACAGTAGTGTACCTCTTCTCTTGCTTTTTCTATCACTTCTTTGCCTTTCTTCTTTATTATGTACATATATGTATATTCCACAGAAAAACTCACAGAAAATTTAAAAAAAAATTTTATCGAACATAAACCTCGGGCTTCGCTCGATAATTTCATAAACATGAATTTATTACATTTGAATCAGGATGTTCGATTGTTCATTTATACAATCCTTCCTAGCAGACGTAACTTTCTCTCTCTCTCTCTCTATCTGCAACAATGATAATGAATCGTTGATCGTTCCAGGATCGTCTGATCGCCAGTAACGCTTGGAAGGACTATGCCTCAGGTGCAAATACGAATTTTGCATTCGAGGCTTTCGAGACAGAGGAGAAAGCCCCACCACCGCCAATTTCCAGTCTACCCCGTCACAGAGAGATGACAGCGAACGGACTCGGCACCGACACCGTGGAGGGCCCAAATAGAATAGTAGGACCACGAGCGACTTACAGTTTGCCGCGTGCACCGGGCTCGAGGCATACAGCGCCCATTCAGCCCGGTTACTACACGCAAGATCGCAGGGATCATTATCAGCGATCGAAGAACAATATGCACGGTCCGACAGGTGGTGGCGTGTCCACGCAACCGAATCAACCTGACTTTTACTTCATGCCCAGTCAGCGTAAATACAGTGGCGAGGTCGTGCGTGTGTACGTAGATTACGGAAGTCAGGTGTCGAAGTAATCGAAAGGAGCATGTTGGGACTCCAATCAACGATAAGAGAATCACAGTGACAGTGCTGCCCTCTTCTCAGCTTTCCCTCGATCACAGATCCGAAGCGGACGATTAAATTATACCTCGCTTCAGTGAAGCGATACTGTACATAAAACACGTTTAGTGGACCTGAGAAAACGAGCCCTTCCTCCGGTGCTTTTCTCATTATCTTTTTCTTTTTTTTATTTTTTATTTTATTTTGACAGATCGTTCTACCATTTCTTTTCTTTCCCGTTGCTTGGTCGCTTGCAAGCGTCGAACGGGGGGCGATACGCACGGTTTCGTTTAACGGAATTACGCAGAAGTAGCGCTTACGACCAAAGAGTTATCGATAAGGCGCGCTCGACGCGCGGTTCTGTACAAAAACGCGTAGAGAAAAACACAACAGAATTATCAGTGTAACTCTCGATGCGTGGCAAGGTAGGTACGTGTGGATCATGTCCAGACACCTCATACCCGTGCGTCATGTACTTACTAGCAAGCGTGGACGTTTGAGCAATAAAACCTTTGTATATCTTTTCTTTTTTTTTAATCGAATGTATGCTCCTTTCCTCAAAAAATAAGGTTTCGTCGAATAGCACTTTTGAAGAAACAAAGAGGGCTAAAGTTTCGTTACTTTTGTCACGTACGGCTGCGAAATTCAGTGTTTCCTTCGTTATCTGTTCGATAAAACAGAGTTGTAATTGAAGTTCGGACTCTCTTTTTAAAAAATGAAGTCTTCTTTTGAAATGTAATCACATGTGTTGTCTAAAATAAAAGCGTAGCAAGTGTGACATATACATGTATATATATATACATATACTATACAGCATTGTTCATAAAACATTAAAATTAAAAAAACGAATTTAAGAATACCTTTTAATTTAGGATTCGCATAATTTATCAATGACTAATCATACGTCTCTCCGTTCAGGGCAAATCGAATATCCGTCAATAAATGAAACGTTTGAAAAACTAAAAGAAAAACGAAAAGTGCGAATTCATAGCTGATTATTACTGATAATAATCCTCCTATTAATATCAACAATAGTGCTGACGATAATAATAATAATAATAACGGGAACATTAGAAACAATGAAGTATACAAGATGTAGTAAATAGCACCCGCAAAAAGGAATTTTTCACCGAGTACCTAAATTTCTTTGCTTGCCTTTAAATAGATTATTATAGAAACTGTAATACTTACAATGACGATACAACGTTGGTACGGTTCATAAATTATTACAATAGTGATAAAATTAATGATAATACTTGTAATAATCATAATAACGATAATAGTAGCAGTAGTAACGATGGCAATAATATTACATTATTAATATTACATTAACGTCGTTAACAACGGCGTCGCGCGCAAATCCATGACTTCCGACGTGTTCTTCATGAACGATGGAATATTTAAGATCAATATAATTAATAATACGACAATAATAATAATAATAATAATAATAATAATAACAATAATAATAATGATGATGATGATAACAATGATAATCATAATCATAATAGTAATAATAGTAATAGTAGTAATAATAATAATAATAATAATAATAATAACAATAATTATAATTATAATTATAAGGCGACGCCACCAGGTAAGCTTTTTTTTTTTATATACCTTCAAAAGTCTGATGTATTCGGAAGCCAATTATAGCACGCATTGCCTTCCTTGATCCTATTATATATAACTAGTATCATCGAGTTCATATTTTCGGTCCTACCGTAAAATTCTTTTTTATTTCTTCCGTCACATAGTGCGAAGTATGAGAAACAAGGGCCTACACGCTCTGAATCGCGTACCGGACATGCCCGCCAAAAGGCACGAAACAGAACAGTGAATTTATATTTTTGTCCCTGAAGAGTACAAGGAACAGTACCCTTGTGGAAAGTATCTTAACGAATAAATGCGCCTTGAATGTATGTATGTATGTATGTATGTGTGTGTGTATGTATTTAAATTCGTACAAGCAGTAAATATAATAAAAATAAATTTTTCATTTCGTTCTCGTGCACGTTTGCTTTTGGCGAGTATGCACCGTTCTGATTAATTTCTCCTTTCTCTTTTGTTTTTTTTTTTTTTCTTCTGTTCATCGCTACTACATTCACTCGAATGTATACAATCACACACAGACGCACGCATGCATACTTAAAACGCCCTTTCTTTCACGCCCTTACAATTCTTTTCTCTTTTTCCCTCTTCTTCCTAACCATATTCTCTCTTTTTTTTTATAATCCTCTCGCGCATCTATTTATAGACACATACAACGCGTAAGATCAGCAGTACATTGTTTCTCCTTTATCCTTTCTTTTTTTTATCGTTTTTCTCTCCTTTTTTTTTTTCTTTTGTTCTCGATCGTCGATCAAAGCAGTGTAGTAAGAGAGTACGGACAGGCGAACATCTGATAAATGGAGTGAACACGATAGTAAGGCTTAATTTAATCTGTTAGTAAATTGTAATTCCGCGCGCGCTACCATTCTCTATGCACAGGCAAGCCTGTGTTTCCACGCAGGTATGCACTCGAACGGTCGGGGGGGGATGGGTTGTTGAGATTATCTCACTTTTCGAGATAAACCTGTCCACATAGAACGTTACATCATTTCTTTCTCTACTATTTTGTTTCTTACTCTCTATACTCGTATTTCTTCTTCGAATGATGTCTTTCTATCGTTTCGGAATTGTTTTTTCTTGTTCTGTCCCGTTGTCTCTCCTTTTTTTGTAACAGTTATCTATACTGTCGTCCCGACAAGTGTAACATGATCATTCCCCTATGTTCGTTCCATTATCCTGCATCACTCTCGTTCATCCGCCGCTTGTTATTTGTTCCTTCACTTTCTTTGCCTAACGTCAGAGTCCTTGTTGGGCGTTGGTTTGCTGTGGAACGAGACGAAACGATTATTAAACAGGATCGATGGTAACTGGTCACGAAGATGAGTCACGTACAATCAGACGGGACATGGATACACTAATCGATACATAGTAACATGTTACTTTATATAAGGTGTCTCAAAAACACACTATAAGAAATTGACAAATTGAACTTGTTTTGTTTTAAATATGAGAACAGTTACAAGGTACACTTTTGGGATAATTTATATTCGTGAAACCTATACAAGAAAGTTTAAATAACAATAACAAAGTAACAGACTTAATCATACGTTTCCTACTTTTTACATAAAGACTTTAGTTTCGTGTTTCTTTACTTTCACTTTTCTAAATAAGCGCCAGTAAAGCTGAAAGTGATGGCATGACTTCAAGGGAAAAGAGTTAAAGTAATGGCAGGACAGATTCAATCGCGCTGGTGCGGACGAACGACGTGGTTTTTTGGGAAAGGAGTTCAACTTGATTGTCCTGTGACCTGAAGGTTCCGGTGTCGGTGATGTGTCAAGGGAAACGATAGGAAGCTTAGAGGGTGGAAGAGGCCCGCGCAACGGTATGCGGTTTTCCGTTCTGTGGTTATCTCTTGTACTTGCACCCGGCTCTCTGTATTCACCAACAAATAAACTTCAAATAGACTTTCAGACATGAAAAACTGGACAACAGTTTACTGGTTTTTCCCAGTATTAATTTTAACATTGAGTTAAAAACTAATAAAGAAAGATTTTTTTAATTCAATTCTCTCCTAATGAAGAAAAAAAACAAAAAAAGAAAATTAAAAGAAAGACTCTAGAGTCAAAATTGAAATTAATCGAATTATCTGAAACTACATAAAAATGGTAGCACGAAGAAATTAAAAATTGTGAAATGTACATACGTGTCAGGGCTCTGATCAGTATCAGATTCCTCGAGTTCAGCCTTGTTTCGTTTCTTTTCATAGACTAGGATGATGGCGCACAGAACAACGACTTCTGCGCAAATGCCTAAGAAGGGCCAGAGTGCGGCAAGCTTGTCTTTGACCCTGAGGAATGTTTGGGCCTCTGCTATGTGACTTTCAGCGGTATCAGACCAATTATAGGATACTCTGCAGAAAATGTTGCCACGATCGTTCATCTCGATATTATCGACCATCAGAATCGCTCCGTAAATGTTCCTTTCGTGGTCCCATCCGAGCTTAACGCGACCAGTGCTGCGAGTGTAATTCTGGTCCCCGAACGTCCATGATACTTTGATACCAGGACTCTGTTTACCGGCACATGTTAAATGCAGCTTCTCTCCCTCGACTACGCTTGTTGAGTCAGGAAGGTGTGCAGTGGGTTTTTCTGCGAATAAACGAAATTTGTAAATTAAGCAATAAAAAGGATTAAAAGCAATAAATATGGTGAAAAACATGATAGAATTGTAGAAAGTTGAAGCAAAAAAAATAATTTCATCAATAGAATTAAAATTGGATATACTTCTAAATGGCACTGTCATTTAAAAGTGAAATTTAAAAGTGAGGTGGGAATGAATATATAATTTTAGTTTTATTATGTTTCCGAGATATTGATAAAAAAATTTTCAATGCTATAAATCTGGGACATCCTATGTATAATGTCCAATATGGAGACCAATATCGCTTATATATAATATTGCATAATCAACGATTTGAGAGGTAATGATAATGACTACTATAACAAAGACTGTATAGGCAAAATTCAATGTACGGTACTGGAAGTGTCTTATTAACATCTCGGAAACTAATAGATATCCCAAACTGAAATTTTATAATATTTGAAATCTTCATTTCTTTGCCTCACTCCCCTTCAAATTTCAAAGTTCAGTCGACAACGGGTGCCATTTTGAAGTACAGCTTTGAAATCTCTAAAAGATTATTTTAAAGATGACACAATTAATATTTTTAAATATTAAATAAAAACAAAACCAAATAAACGTAATAAATAACTTAAACGAATTACGACTTATCATTAAAGTAAAGAGAAAGATAAGAAAATTTCGCCGCAAATGATATTGAAATTTTTAAGAACCAGGATTTTAAAGGAACACTTACGTACGATCCTATACTCTGTGGAAGAATTTGTTCCTTTACAAGTGTAATTCCCATACAAGACTTCTGAGTTTTCCTTTCGTGGGAAAGTTAGAAATTCCAGGATGCCTGTTTCATTATCTATCTTGATTAAATCCTCGTTACCAGCCAATGCTGTATGAATGGGAACATTTTCCTTGAACCACTGTAACTTCTCCCCTGCGCTTTTATTCGCGCATTCTAGTATCATTGGAACATCCTTGGGTGTAAGTACTCTGATCTTGATATCTGTCTCAAAGAAAAATCAAATTATTTACTTTATACCAAAAGTTATCTACTCATTTTCCTGTAAGATGCTTTTGTTAAATAACAAAAATGCTGATTCCACTGTACAAATCAACGTTATTTCATAAATTTCAATTTCAACTCATATATGCGAATTATATAACATATTTTTAAGAAAGATTCTACATTTCTTATCTTTAATACCGTTTCTTATCAGAACACTTCACTGCTTGTATCTTTCTAAACAAATTTTAACAAAGGCAACGTGAGAAGCGATTTATATCTTCTGCTGTAACTTGAATTTATTTATAATTAACTTTTGACATAATAAACATTTACAAAATATAGAATACAAAATCTTGTAATACAAAGTTTTCACTTCAATAGAATATTTCATAAATTCACTAATAAATAAAAACAGAAATACTCCATGCAAGGTTTCTGAAAGATTTCCTTTGCACAGTAAATTTCCTCAATGCAGTAATTAGCAAAACAATTCCACGGAGATAAATCTAATTGCTTCCTTCAGTCTTCTAACAAGATTCAAGTTCTCAGAATCTTCAAACGCTATGAAATTTAAAAGCGGCACAGGATATCATCATATTAAGGAATGATTTGAAATACAAGAACAATTAAGTACAGTCAGCTGCAAAAAAAACAATATACTAAAAGCTTCTCTGCTTACAAGAAATTTACAAACAAACAAGCAGCAGTGATATAAACGGATGGAAAAATACTGCAACATAAAGTACATCACAGCACTTATTTCTATAAAGATCATATATGCACATAGAATAATCTGAACCATGGAAATTTTTTGTATACTGTGTACGTACATTTTGAAACCAATCTGAAGATGTATATAAATATTACAAGATAATTACTGCAGACATACATTTAGAAAAAATTAAGGTATTAACGTAATGAACAATTGCTTAAATATCATTGTAATTTTTATAAAATATAGTACTATAAATATCTTGTAATTCCTATGTACATTGTCAGACTTAAAAGAATTGTAAAAAAAAAAATGCATTCTGATTAGTCACAGCAACATTTATCAGCAGCTGTATCGCCTGAGCCATTGTTTCATCTCGCATGGTAATAATAGGCAATAATAGGCAATAACAAGCCTAGGACGTATATTGATCGCAATTAATTATCATTTACATCTGCATCGCTATCTAGTTATAAAGTCATGCGTCATCAGAAGCGAACATATGGGATAGCATAGAGCTCTCATGTTAATTGTATCATGATTACTTTCACCATTAAATAACGTCTACGAAAATGATTTTATAATTAATTACAATCACTAATTGTTATTCACACGAATTAAAAGCTTAAGCAAATATTGTCAGCGTAACAATACTAGCTCGCGTGGATTAATATGAATGACGAATCTGTCGATGACAACCAGAGATATAGTCGTTATTAATATGCTTTTTCATCGATTCGAGCAGTTTACAAGTATCGCAATTTCAATAAATTGGAATCTAGGGCAATGATGAGACCTGAAACTCGAACAAGTATTTGCCTACTCTGCAAGATTGTTTTAAAATACTGAGACTTAAAAAAAAAAGCTGCACTTTTCTCTGAAATTACGCTCCCGTTATTATAGTCTGTATCAATAATACTTAATTATTCTCTAGCACATAATTGAATCAGTACATTATAATATATGTGCAATATAAATTTTATATATTTATTTATTTATAAATAAATTCATGGTTTTATATATTTATAAATAAATGTATATTAATTCAGTGTAAATTAATGTAATATAATGTCATAATACAGTCTTGGAGCAACTTTCAACTAATTTCAAACAGACTATAATCTTCTGTACACACTTTCAACTGAAACTCGATATTTCAGAACTTTCAGAGTCTACTGTGCAACAAGAATTATACAAACACCCATTATGTTATATTTTATGCGCAGATAATATACAAATATGTAATTGGCGTGCAAGATATGCATACAGGCAGGTAGCAAGCACACAAAATGCAATCAAGGTAGATTAACACGCAACATTTAAAAATACAATACTGCTCGATTAAGCATTTGCAGATCACATGTAAATGTAGTTATATATATAGTAATTTTTCGCTAACTGGGAACGAGATGGTATCAGTTTCCATTCTACAAAAGCTTTATTCCAAGAATTCATGAATTTTAGAAATAACATAAATCTGAAATTGTGAAATTGGTTAATTGTTAAGGCATTATTTGAAGAAGAAAAAAAAAACAAAGAACAATATTTCACATGCACTTACTTGTAATCTTTGACTAGCGTATTAATATTGTTTCAATCCCCAGAAGATGGCTCTGCCATCTAGGGATTTGCGGTATAAAGCGGGCAGAAATTTGAATGCTTAGACGGACAGTATGTATACAGAAATGTAAGTAAATGATATAAAAGTATCATAGTAAGTGAAGGGAGGTGTGTGCATGTACGAACCAAAATATATCCAGAGATGGAAGGACTCGTCGCTATCCTGGGTGCATTTATAGTCCCCGTCGTGGTTATCGGTGGCATGTATCGCCCGGAGGATGCTGCTTCCGGTTCCTACCGGCGACTGGACGGTTAGCTGACCACTCGCCAGCTCTGGTTCTAACGACTGTCCGTTTCTGGTCCATCTGATCAAATTGTCCTGCTTCAAGTCGCTACACTCGATCGACCAAGGCTGATTCTCGTGCACGACCGTTGCTCCCTTGTAGGTTACTATTAAGGGGAAGAACATACGAGCACACATCAAGAGATGACACGACAACGATCACTCGGTGATAATGATTGATACAAACATCTGGAGGTTTCCACAAGGAACAGATACGTAATCGTACTGTTTCTACCGTATTTTTGCTACATCTACGACAGGATTTTTCCGATTGCACGGAGAGATGGATGATCACGTGATCGATCAGGATTTGACTTCAGGTGACTTGGGTTCCTAGTTATTGAACCAGATGGCGCCTAATATGTGAACGTGTTTTTCTTACAGGAAAAATAATCTTTTAATAAAATTCTTTCTTCTAACAATTCGTACGAAGTACATGAATATTCGTAAGTATATTCAAATCTTTTTTTCTTAATCCAGCGTACTTTCTAAAATTTCTCAAAAATGCCTGTAGAATCGAGAACGACGGCTGAATGCAAAAGTGGATGGAGAGGAAGGAATCATTCTGCTATAGATGCGTCAAAACAGAGGTGGGTCTTTTCACCCGTGTTTCGGCAGAAAATAGAATTCTAGTCAGTTCAACTCACAACGGAGAGTCGAAACCGACTGACGCCAAAATGTCAATCACTGTGATGCGGGCAGGAGAGGTGCTTAGAAGATCGGTTAACGAACACAGGTTGATCCGGCTCCGCGGGACAGAGGACACACGGGGCTCGACGATTCCCATTTATTTTTAGCGATTTATTCTTTTACAACCCTGTTGCCCTCCATCGTGTTGACACCAACTGGACCAGATGAAATTGTAATATGCACGCAGGCTCAGGGGAAAGAGACTGATAATCGTGGACACGTCGGGCTGACCTATAAAACGGCCGTGCTCTGGCTTCTGTCGAACAATTTAAGAGTACACCGCGATCAAGAAGCACGCGAGAGAGAACTGATATCTGTTTAAAAATATACACCGAGTATAACTTGAAATATAATTAGTACTTTATATTTCAGCATGGAAGATAGTCACCGAACCTTTTAATCAAGGCATTTTAGCCAGAGAAACAAAAAATGCAAAGCGTCGAGAGCCACAAAAATTGGTACATAGGAAACGAATAAATAAATGAAGAACAGAGAATCGAGCCACTCTGTATTTACAAAGTTGCAAGTGTACTAGAACGCCGAGTAGGATGGAAAAAAGAGATCAATAGTACGGCGAACACGTGCCATATGACCCTAAGTATCAAAAGTGACTATATAGTAGAATCGCGTGTTCCCACGTAGGTGGAGAGGCAGAAGGGGTCGTTCATTTGTAACTCAAACTGTTACCACAAGAGTCTAACTATGTACATAGTGGTAGTAGTAGCACCGCCGACGGAGAATTGATCTTCAAAAATTTTCACAACGTCAGCAAGCTCGACTTTTGGAATTTTGTCGAACACTTAAAACAAGAGATTGATGAAAATTCTAGTCTGGATATTGTCAAGTAAAAATCGAACGTTCATTGCTTCAGACAGAAAAGTCGAAATTCAAGTTTATTTCATTTTCAAACATATGTTTTTGTTTCAGAGATGAACCCGAATGTGCAATATTTCACTCGAAGTAAAAATACATAATTGAGCACGAGAGAAGTATACGCCTCTTTGTATTCGCGTGGCATAACGGATTGCCTCGAATTGAAACGCAGTATGGTTTTTTTGTCTGATTTAAAACTCTGCGAAACGATTGCAAGAATCGTGGAAATTTTCGGACGCCTCTTTATGCAGAAATATAGAGAATACGATGGAGGACGCAGGAATTGGAACGCCCGTGATCTAGGGCGCAATTTGGCAAGTTGGAGTTGCACATACTCGCAAGATGGAGCACAAAAGAGAGCCAATGCTCGTAAACACGTTCTACTATCCTGACGATGCCAAAGGTCGAAAATTTCCAATCATTGAAACGAAATTAAAGCTGTCGAACTCGTTCAGGAAAGAAAAAGAGAAGATATCCAGTACAATCCAATACAATCAGAGAGTAAAATAAATCATCGATTTTAAAAATTTACTCGCTCAATAGAATGTCGTTCAATTTGTTATGAAACTTTCGATTTTAAATTTCAAAAGAAGAATGGTATTCTCCGTTAATGAAGTTAGCAATGAGCAAACTTTACAAAAGATAACCAAACACAAAGTCCATTATGAACTTGATTTGCACACAGAGGCTTCTGCATTTGCTCAATTTTGCCATGTTATTAATTTCCTCGCGAATTTAGAAGACTTAAAAGCCGGTCACCTCCTGATAAACTCATCAGCCTGAGGGGGTAAAGCCAGAGAGCCTCCCCCCCGATAGGAATACATTGCAATTTTTCTGCTCCAATAAAGCTAGCAGATAAACTACTCTACTAAGAATCGAACAGCTTTGTACGCGTTCTGTAATTCTTGGAAAAGATACAAACTATTTGTTTTAACGATATATTCAATATTTGTACAAATTAATCATTGACGCGAAACAACGTAGAAAAGAAAAACTGGATAACAGTCGAATTTGTAGAAGATTAAAATTCAAAATAACTAAATGAAGTATTATTTAAATTGGATTTTGACCTACAGAGTGAGCAATATCGATTGGAAAGAAATTGACAACTTCCACTGATTTAAAACTAACAGAAGAAGAAGTTGGTCATTTAACAAGAAACCCATAAACATTTCCAAACTCAAACTGAAAATTATGTTTTCTGGCATTGTCGCGCTAACTAATGCTGCACACGAGCTATTTAAGTGATTTTTCTTCTAGCATAATCTTGTCTCTTGTCCTTGAGCTTCGATATTATCTAACAGACTAAACAGAACGTACAGCGTTTTAAAATCTCTGAGTAGCTGAAACAAATATAAACAGAAAAGTCCGACATTTGTAAAGATTAACAAAATCATTAAGAGGCAATAAAAATGCCTTCTTCGGCAAAGGTTCCAACCAACATTCCTTCAGCGAATAACTTTTATCAAGCGGACGTGAAAAAACGCGCTAACATGTGACGATTTATCACGGTAGCTACATAGTGAGTGAATGAAACTTGTACAGAAAAAAGGATTTCTGTAACTTTAATATTCAATAATACAATGACGTAACAAAATTTAGATTGTCTCCTGAAATAGCGTCTAATTTGACCGGGAATTCGGGCGGGAATACAAGTTCTAATTTAATACATACAAAGAGAACGAGCGCGGCAATTAAGCTTGAAATATAAGCGATGAAGTATTCTTAAATTGCCTTTTTGTTTAATTCGTTTCAATTTGTGTTTAGACGAGGTAAACACGGACCAATTTACGTATGTTACGCACACGTTTACATCAACTCAGTCAATAGAGAGATCCTGCTTACATCAGGGAGAGATAAGAGGTACGTGGCTACAAGATATGTGTGTGTGTGTGTGTGTGTGTGTGTGTGTGTGTGTGTATATATCGTTGCCAAGGATACGCGTGCAATGATTTACAGAGCCAATCTGTATCTGGAAAAGACACACGAAGCGAGTACATTGGAACTGTAAACGCGGTCACGTGCCAAATATATTCGAAAAGATGAAGAAAATTCATTTGGTACGGGGAACGAAACTATTCCTCTGTCGTATCTTCTTTCCTTTTGGGAGTCTTCGTACAACTAAATAAACCTACCATGAAAATGAATTTCGATTTTCTCGGAAAACTTTACTAGGATTATTTATCACGTTGAGACAAACTTAACACATCCACAGTGACGGATCAATTTAATTCCACAAATGAAGTAAAAAAGATGAGAATTCGAAGAGGTTTCATTACTTGGAAAGGTTGGTCAAACAGAAATAAAGTGGGACCGGTGCTTCAACCCTGATTCGAGCGTTTCTTTCTGGGTCATTGGTGTTTCACTGGATTTCTATAACAATTTCGTACAACATCGTGACGTTCAATATAATAACAAACGATCCGACACACGTGCGCATGTGATATGATGCATTCTTTTTAGCTACCTAATTACAGTCCAAATATTACACATAACTACACACCATTGGAATCTGTGGGATGCCCGACGCAAATAGAATGTCGCAGTGGCGACAATTCATCATACATTACACATTGAACAAGTAATATAAAAAGTCAGCATGCATAAGAATTCTATTTTATGATTTAACGTAAGTTAAGAGAAACATTGCTTGAGTTATCAACAAATGACACCAAAGTAAAGTCGATATATGTAATTAACTGTAAACTAGTATGCTCATTTTGTACGTGTCTTGTTGATATTACCCATTGTTTTAAGTCAATAATTACAGTGGCAGTAATCAATTAATTTAACTTGTAAATCGATACTTCAAATTCATTGGGCAAGTTGGGTGAATTCTCAACAAATGGCAAATTGTAAATCAGTGTGTAAGAAGGTCACATGACCTAACGTTTCGATGACGAATCGGTAAAATTATAAATGTGCATATGACTTCGTACACATCACGATGGTATTTGCCAGCAGTTGTAACAGAGATCAGACATCGGCTAAGTAACATGATTCACCATAATAGCTCGTTGCACTGTCATAGAGCAGTAATACATTCTTAAGTCGCTCTTGCAACAAACAAACGCGATACTTCTTTGGTTAATCACAATTGACTTCTTTTTTTTTTTCAGCGGAAGCTGTTCTAATTCTAAAACGTTGAAAGGACAATCTTTAAATAAAATTAAATAAGGAAAAAAACAGATAATTTAAATGATAGCTTTGAAATTACTCTTGGCTATTACCGAGCTTGGTAATATTATTATTATTGAGGCCAGCTAGAATTCTTCTACTGGCCTTCTAGAATCCTTTTAATTAATTCCTGCGAGTTGCACATTCGACATCTACACATATTGGCAGTGACTAACGTTCAAAATCACTTTTAACTTAGACACAACCCAGACCTAGAATTCAAGAAAGACAAAAGTTTTCAGTCGATTGAAATCAAAAGCAAGACTTATGTAATACAAGCTAAAAGTGTCTTAATGAATATATTTCGATGATGCATAAAGTGATCTTTATTGTGTAGCTGTAGCCGGTACGTAGAAAAAAGAAAAACTAAACTAAAAACGTCGGCATCGGCCTAGTTAGTCAAACGACGCGATGGTCACTAGTTGCTGATAACGCTGCTGTAGCTTACACATATCGGTGTAGAATAAATGTAACACGTAAGAAAGCGATCGATCGAAGCGCACGAAATTGTTCGTGCTCTCGTGTTCCACGGAGAAAATATAAAACGGCGAATACAGACGTGTACATTTGAAATCAATCGGCACACCCATGAACAGACATGCACAGATGTCGAGATACGTTCTCTAATCTTGCTAATGGAGAAATTTCCAAGTATTTCTAAATAGATCCTCTTATAGATCCTGCACATATTTGTGTAAATTCATTGATCATTTTTTATGAAAATGATTGACCTAGCTTATGCTTAGATATTTTATTTTATTATTAAATATTAATATATAAACTAATAATTTAGATGCTTTCCATAAGTTCTGAGGGTTCAATGAAACGCACGAACATCTTAACAAGCTTAATTTTGAAATATTTCTTTTTATGTAAAATATTATTTAGAGTACGGATCTAATTATTTTTAAAAATCATAAGAATGATAGACAAGATCTTTTACTATACAACGTACGTAGAAATATAAACCAAATCAATATCTATAGCCTGTATTTCTTCTTATTTAAATCAGCAATTTCGCTGAATATAATAAAGAAAATTTTACGAATGACTAACTCTGACGTAAGATAAATTGAAATTTAAAAGCAAATTCTTTTTTTTTTAGGAACAAAATGGCCACAGAGAAATATCTATGTTCGACAAAGTTCGAGATTTTCATGGCATTGCTATCATTGCATTATCCTATGGTACACGCTGCTAAAGGGTCAAAAATAGACACGCGTTCCCAGGGTTAAACATAAGCATTCTTCTTCATCTGGTTTGTAAGCAAAAACAGAACATCCTGATGAAAACATTCGCCGTGCTAGAGAATGGAGGTTAAGTTTACATTTCAATAAACAAGCCACGCAAACTAAGAATATAAATGATCAAAACGCGTGCTGGTTTCGTCATTAACATTTTTTTTTTTTTTTTTACAATACCGCCACGCGTGAGTGTGCGCTTCTATTGTAAAACAAGAGACGAAATCTTCTTAATACCGAAATACATTACACGCTCACTCGATCCAATCCCATAACACGACAGAGACAAAATGGAAATTATATTCGTAGACTGATCTAAATATAAGTATTCTGACGAACGCTTGAAATCTTTTCATGCGACACATTTTCACAGCTTTGATATACATTTCTCTTTCAGTCTGATAGAAGAAAGAAAACTGTATGGTAAAAATTATTTTCTTACAATTTTTTTTTAGAAGTTTTATAAGTTACATTGCTTGGTGAAGGCAGTTTTAATGGAAGATTACAACGGGAACAATATATTACACAAACTCGTCGAATCTTACAGCTTTATGAAAGAGGAAAATAGCAAATATCTTCAAAATCAAATAGAGAAGATATACCAGTCTTGATAAGACGTAAAATGTGCTTCATCACATGTTTAGAACTTTTAAGTGTTCTTTTCTAGTAATCGAAAGATATTGAAATTGAGTACAGTACAAAGAACGATCACACTTCTGGTATATATATATATATATATATATGATAGACTAAAATTTTCAACAAATGCCAGCTGAGAACTCGTTCTCGTGCAACACGTCAGCATATTTATCCACCGCGAATTCTTCACCGGAGATGAAAAATTTCGCGGTAAATTTACGTAATAACTGGCTGAACAGAAACTTCCGCGTAACGATCGCTAAAAGCCAGTAAAGTTTTCTGGGTGGACTGATAAAATAGGGTCAATTGTTACGCAACAAAAGTTGCTTGGCGTGGGTACTTTGCGTACGTCTCTCGGAATGTAGCTGCTGCAGCATCGAATGCGACCGAATCCCGGTGTCTCGCGTCGGTATAACCAGAGGTGCGCAATTCGGATGACCGCAAAGGTCAAAATTCAGTCAAATACATTTTATCCGGATTGAGTTTCAATCTTACACGCTAAGATCTATGCGCACATCGCATTGGACAATGTAAAAAAATATCTGACGTCTATTTTTATGTTATTACGAAGAAAACGTAATGCACAACTGTACGTGTATTTTTATACACACGCAACAGACATCAAATTATGAACCACTGCTAATAAGCTTCAACACAGTTGGAAATAATTTCGGTCAGTGAATACCACTAACAGTTATCATATAGTTATCGATATGAAGCGACTTCGAAGATTATCCTACATGTACATCGAATTAAGATGGTTGCCTACGACGCATCTGATATCTCAATCGATCAAGCATCTACAAATTATATATAATGATAATGGAATCGAGAGCTTAATTAGTCTATACCTGAACTTGTTTTTAAACTTACTTCATGGAAATCAATCATTTGCGAAAAGAATGGTAATCGGTCGAAAATCGGTTGATGGTATCACGTTTTCAACCGCCGTGCTGTAATACTTGCAGTATAATCGAAACTAAAAATAGAATTTCATAAATTGTCAAGATGTGTCACCTCCATAAATGCCAAATATTCACGAAAATTATACTTTAAAAGAATTCTATTTCTAATTTGAAGTAGCAATTTTTGCATATAGAACGCAAGTGCAAAAGTGCAACCGTATTAAATTTAATAAAGTAACCTTGCTTGCAATTAACACGATGAAGACACGTCTCAGGCGGCATCGTGTGACATGTGCGTCACAATAAACTCATCGAATTATAATCAAGATATAGATAACTAATTGGAAAAGGTGGCACAAAAGAAATTTCTTATCCTAGAAGAATTTTGATGAAAGGAGGGAAAAAGCCGAGAAATATCTATTTTAGAAGCACCATCTCAGGAATAAGAGTTAGTTAACATCCTCCATTCCTCGATAGTCGTCTCCATGTCAATTTTAAGTGGAAACGACGATGTGATATTCTGACGAATAAGTTAGGACAATCACACACAGACACACACAGATTTTTATTGCTCCTATATTATGTTATATCGCTCCTTTGACGTTTCATTCGTCAGAATAATAGTCAGACAGATAAATTGTCCGATAGACATGCATCTGCAAACAATTCACATTATTCCTTGTTTCTATTTCAACGAAAGACAAGATACAGATCAATACTTATCCGCATATCGTTTCTGGATTTGTATTTCTGTTGCCTACAAATTGTCCGCAGACAACGTAAATACATCACGCGGATAATCGTTTGTCAACTTAGACCAGGCTCAAAACTTGCCACGAGGCTGCGTAAAAAATTCTTCAGCTCGTTTCGAATTATCGTTCGAAAAAGATGCTGTCTTTCGAAGAAGAAAAAAAATGAAAGCACGAATTATGTATACGATTTGACAATGCGGCGAAGGTAGCGCAATCGCTAAAAAGGGGCAAAGACGAGGGAACGAGGTGCGATAAATGGATTAAACGAATGGCTGAATGGTAAGCAATCCGAAAGAGAGGATAAGTCTCACCTGCCTGGACCGTGACGAGGGTGCCCGCTAAATATAGCATCCCCAGCAGCAGCACAAAAGCAGCTCGCCTCTCCATCTCGTGGCGCTGATGTACGCGGTGGCGCGTGACTGTGCGATACTTAACGATCCCGTTCGATGCGAGTATCTAGGGATCTCTAGATGAATCAGAGAACAATGACGTCTATGCAGGATTGCCGTAATTCCGTTTTCGCGATCGTTGCCGTGGTTGTCGTATCTTGGCCGTGGTCGTCGTTGTCGTTGACCTGGTCGTCACGTCGTAGCCTTTGTTGCCTCCTGCAATACCCTTCCCGTTGTCGGCAGCTCCTTACTTTTCGGCTGTCCACTCTCTATCTCTCGGCCAACTACGATCGAGCCCCACTACTCTCTCTGTTGATCATTTACACATGCACTCGTCACCTTGTCGAGCCACGCCGTACCATTGACGTCTGAATTTTTCTTATCGTTATCTAGCCGCAACGGAGTTCCTCTCCTGTCTTTCCCGTCTGCACAAAACAACACCTCTGCCTCGGCACCCGCCTCCTCTCTGTTTCAATCTCGACTCCGACGTGGAACTCGTGATCCGTTAAAGAACCCGACGACGACGACAATTGGCACCCGCGGAGCCGCAGAAACAGCAGTGTGTCAGGAAAAATGGCCGCCACTGTCTTTTGCTGTAATTTTCTGCGCAGACGTCTCTCTCGCTTTCTCGACCGTCGTTCCTTCCTTTTCACTCCTCGGCGGAACACCGTTCACGTACGTCTTCCACGGCCATCCAATGAAGTACGTATGCGCATGCGCGCTACGCTTCCGTTTGAGGAATTATAGATGCCTCGTTTTTTGCGATTTCAAGCACTGTTCACATTGTAATTCTGCGCGACATTCAAATTTGAATTTGAATTTTAAATCACAACGTCAATGAACGCTTATTATATTATATTAATTAATTGAGATGATTTATTGGAAGGAATTTGAATTGTACATGCGTAAAAATTGCACACCTATATCTCGACAAAGTGACTAACACGTTATCGATATTGTCGCCGTAGAAATGACGTAATAAATTAAGTTATAAAAAGACTTTCTACAATACGATGGTTGAAATTATGATGCACGAACGTTGCGGATTAATATACGATTCTAGTTGCGAATTAGTAAATATTGAATCGCGATTTGAATATGCATTTAAGATCGTTCACTATTCAGTAATACCATATGCGAGCATTTACATAAAAACATCCCCAAAGATTTTAGTCACCATACGTTCGTTCATGTTTATGTGTAAAGTCGAGGAAATAATTTCAATGAACTTGAGAGGTTTCCACGAACTTACAAATTTTCAGTAATATTGCATAAACTGAGAATTCAATTTCTCCAATTACAAAGCTATGAATATGAAATTAATACATATAGGTGATATAGTTCCAAACAACTACCACGAATTCATATTTGTTTTTTCCTTATATTTTTATTAAAATATATTTATATTTTGAACAAAATTTTACATATTATATTTTGAACATGTTACATTACTCTGTCGTAAAAAAACAATTATCTAGATAATTTTTGCATTGTTGTTTTTATATTGAATATGATATATAAATTATATTTACTATACTTTCATGCAAAATGAGTCATAAAACAGTGCTTTGTAATTAGCGAATATTATTATTTATTTAATTAATTAATAATTACTTAATTGCCATTTATTTAATGTTAACTGAAGTAAAATCATCTGCAAACTATGTTAACAAACAGATTGATTTATTTAAGAAGATCTATTTACAGCATAAAATTAAAAAAAAAATAGTTTATAATAGTTTATAATAATAATAATAGTTTAGTCTAACTAGTAGTTTAATAGTTTTCAATTCACTATATCCTTGTAGTCAAGGTCATATACATTAATTAAGTATTAATATTTTAGTTAAATAAGTATCAAGTATTTCAAATTTAAAAAAGGTAAAATATATTTTTTGAATTATTTACTTCTAACGCAAAAATAAAATTGAGTATGTATTGTATTATATATTTTTTATATATTATCTAAGGAAATATGTATGCTACGTGGCAAATTGTAATAATTGACAATTGCCCTAGTAATCTTTTTATTCTTTTTATATTTCATTCATGTGGTAAGTGATATTAAAAGAATATAATCTTCTTTTTTAATGTAATAATTTCTATACATTTCAGATTCTATAAGATTGCATAGAGAGGAATAATACAATCTGATAATAAAAACAAAAAGTACAGTAAGTACTCAAATGATAAACTATAAGTAGGTTCTGTAAAATTCCTTATCATTATAGATACAAGTAGCTTCTCTAAAATTCCTTATCATTATAAAGAGATATTAGAGATAAGTACATTGATAAGATCTAATATATAACTATGAAGCTAGGTTTTTTAAGGTACTGTAATATTGATCATAAATTTGTGCGAAAGTGCTACGAGAAATTAATTTTTTCAGCAGTTGGCGAAATTATGGCGAATATCAATAAGGAATATGGAAAATTAACAGAAATAAGTGTTCATTTTACGGAGGAAACATTAAAGCAGATACTACATATCGTAGATAATGGAAAAGAAGTAAATGTATTAAGCTGGGATTTTGATGGAACAAGTAGCAAAGGTGACAACTATTTGTCAACCATTTATAAAATAAAAGTCATTGGTACTGTAGATGGAAAAGAAATAGAAGTTGGTTTAGTGGTCAAAAGTCTACCAAAGAATGTAGGCAGAAGGAAAACATATAGGAGCGCAGAGTTTTTCAGCAATGAGATTATGTTTTATACAAAGGTAAAAAAATATATCATTAATTCAATATATTTTTTTTGCATTTAATACATTTTTTTAGATAATTCCACAATTTGATATATTTGTGAAAGAAAAGCATCAAGCACAAATGTTATGCATTCCCCGTCATTTTGCTTCTGTTATGGATGGTGAAAATGATTTTGTAGCATTGGAAAATGTTACTTTTTTGGGATATGGACCAATAGCTAGACAAACTTCCTTAAATGAAGCACAATTCAAGATAATTTTGAAAGGTTTAGCAAGATTTCATGCAATTTCTTTTGCATTTAAAGATCAGAAGCCAGATAAATTTAAGGAAATTGTAGGATATTTGCATGAAACATACTATAGTGATAATCATTGGAATTGGTACAAAAGATTCCATGTAAGATTAATATTTTTATAAGCATCGATTTTAAAAATTGTAGAATATTAACATACTGAATACTTATTTTTAGGAGAAAATAGTAGATATTACAAAAAATGCTTTAGCTAGAGAATATCCTAATAGTGAAGCAGAAAAAAAGTTCAAGCCATATAAAGCTGAAGACTTGTTTCAAAAAGCAATCAAATTGTGCAATCGTAAATATCAATCAACATCTGTTGTTAGTCAAGGTGATTCATGGCTTCCAAATTATATGGTTCGGGAAGCTACTAATGAAATTATGATACTTGATTTTCAATTGGCAAGATGTGCCAGTCCAGTTTTGGATCTCTCAACTTCTTTTTATTCTTGCACTGAGAAACCTCTTTGGGATGAAAAATTCGATACATTTTTAAAATATTATTACAATGAATTATCCAAGAACATTACTTTACTTGGATCTAATCCTGAAAATGTGTATTCATGGAGCACGTTTATGAAGGAGGTAAATTATATTAATATAATTTAGTAAATATGATGGCATTTCTTGATAACATATAAATTAATTAATTACAGACAAAAGAACAATTTGTATTTGGTATGATATTTGCAATGGAAATAATTCCAATGATTTTAGTGGATGATACTGATGTATTTGACTTAGATAATATAGAAGATGATAGTGGAGTAGACATAGCTGATATATGGACAGTGTCATATATCGAGACAAAAGAAGGAAGGCGTAGACTGGCTAATATTGTTGTACATGCTGTTGAAAAAGGATTTTTATAATCATACAGACAAGTATATTTTATACATAATGTTTATTAAATGTGTAGCATTAAATAAAATAGAGACAATCTGTATTTGTATATTTTCAATTATAACAACACAGTTTAAGTAAAATATAGTTTATATAGAAGTAGATATAGATATCCATTATTCATTCCTTTGTGAATAATAAGTGTTTTAAAATTCTTTTTCTTATCACTTAGTTAGGTTAAAAAATAAAGGAAGTTTCACAAGATCATTTCATTTACATTTATAAAAAAACATCTATTGACAGAAAGTACAGTTTGTAGAGATGAGCACATCTATGAATTTATATTAAAATGCATTCATATTAAAATTTCACGAAAGCAAATAATTCTATATGAAAAAATATTAGAAGTACATGATGTATACTTCCATCTTTAAATAGCATCATATTTAGGAAAAATGTTTTTACATAAATTGAAAATTTTTGTGGCAAAATAATTAGCGTACTCTATATCAATTGTTTTTATAAATTTTGATGCTCAACATTATTTGTTAAAACATTACTGGCATCAAAAACAGTAGTATCCTCATCATCCTCCTCATCTAATGGCAATGGTCGCATCTCAACATCTTGTCTGTGTGCTAGAACACCATATTTTCTGACCATTTGGGCACGTGTTTTATTTAACCTATGGAACAATGCATGAACAAGAGACTTAACTCGAAGATCGAATCATCAACGTAATAAATAGCAACTACTGGTTTTAAAGCATCAATTAATTGCATCGTGAAATGGAAATTTTGTAATAAATGCAAGTACCTAAAGCTACGGAACACGATATAGGCCAAGACAAGAACGCTTAGCCCCACAAACACATAAAAACCACGCTTCAGAGCTCCAGCGTTTAAAGAAGTTGCATGTCCTTCACCCACATGCTGTTGAAAATTCACATTATATTAATGATTTAGTAGTAGTAGAGCGTTTGTAATTTTTTTTTTTTAATGTCTAGGTACATGAAATCAAACCCATTTTGGTTAGATATACTGCAAAATTCAAAACAGAATAATAGAAACTAAAGGAACACTGCTCCAAAGGGATTTTTATATTTTTTCTACCAAGTTTGATCAACTTCAAACACTAACCTCTTTACGCGTTCCTGTAGTGTACGCAGTTCTATTAACGTCTGTTTGTTTCGAGGTTATATTGTCCGTTTTGTTAACCTCAGAAGTCGTTGTGCCACTGGTTAATATTGAATTTTGTTGATGCTTTTTCCCATCTGCGGAAATATGTGCGCTATCTTTCCTCGGGGTTTCAACACTTTTATCTAACAATGGTTCAGCTATAGCTCTGTCTATCCTAAAACTTCCATTGCATAGTGCGCTCTGTTCTAACAGGAAGATCAACAAGAATATCAAAACCTTTATCATCTGGATCCTCGAGCGTGTCATTGTTTCGTGTCATTTGTAAAAACAAATTCTAAGAAGGCAAACAACGCAGCACTATACGTTGACGTTTAATCACGGGTACCATGTTGACCCGGCTTGTAGAACTAACGTGTCAACTGGTTTCAACTTCAATTGCCGTTTCGCGGCACACTCGTACCAAACATACGTATATATGTATGTATATACTATCGAAAATATTTCTGCGAGTTGTGGTTAAATATAGATTGCAAAACATGTATGTCACGACGTATATTTGTGCGCACGTTATATGCTCGTTTAAGTATACTCTTTATTCTGAAATTTTTATTTTGAAGGAAGTTTCCAACACTTGCGCAAAATCGAGATTATTCGCATCGGAATTTTTTAAGAATCGAAAGTAGAAGGCTCGTTAAATCTAAAATTTATGTACAATATATTTTAGATAAGATACAGATCGTGAGATATGGTCGATACGTTAGATATCGTTAATACGCACAGCAAAATCGCTTTGTTGCTTTCTTGTTGCATTTCTATCAGAAAGAAAAATTGAAAAAAAGAAAAAAAATAATAATAAATTTATAACTTTTTTCCAGAATACATATATCTTTAACATTGGTGAAGAAATATATATCTTGCGGCTGATATAATAGTAGATAAGATAATAGAAGTTTTATGAAAGCATTACGTTTAAATCATACTATTTTACGTAATCCTAAAATTTACATTCTTTTCATACGTTATTGATATACATATAATTGATAAAGATTACTATTAAATATCGCAATGATAACATGTTTAATTTCAGTTACAATGGCGGCTCGTGATTTGAAATCGTGGAGGTGCTGCAACTTTCAATATATACATACACACTTTTTTTTTTTTTTTTGAACGTTTTATTCGTGCCAATATACAGTGAATGACAATAATCATAACGTACAAAAGATTATAAATTATTACTATTTTCTTCTTAGACTAAAGGCTTCATCCCTGAAGTACGCACAGTCTTAAGTTGAAGGTTACATTTCTACACTTATTGCTACATGATCCTTAATTCTAGATAAACTAAATTTATACTATATCTATGGATTTTTTTTTTTATTTTTATTATACAATAAGGCACCGTAATTGTACAATATTTCGAGGGTAAGGTAGGATGATGGGGGGGGGGATGGGAACTCTATTCTTATATATGCGATTTACTGTACTATTGCACTTTTGGGCCCGGTCAGTCCCATGAAGCCTTAACAAATATTGCTTTATGGGGCTAATTGTAGCGTCCCAGAGTGCATGTCTTTTTGTTGTCTTCGGTACGGTCGCAGGTCGGAAAGGTATTGTTTCTTTCTTTTTTCTTTTTTTTTATTATAGCCACCAATATTTTTTATTGTTGTATTTTATTTTCACGTCGTGCTCCGTTAGTTTATGTTTGTATCGTATTTCGGGGTCGCAGGATGATAAATTACCGATGTACGGTATAGTTTTATTTAGTTAGATTTTTCTGTTGCAGTGGTAGATGATTGGGAGATTTTCGTTATTTTGAATGTGCGATGTGCTGTCCACGTGTATGAAGGATTCCGGTGGTGTGTATCCTGTGTGTTTTGTTCTTTCGTAATATTGCGGGTTGGGATAGATTGAGTGGTATATCAGGCTGTTGGATTGGATATTGGATATGTTTGCCCAGTTTCTGATTAATTTTAGGATGAATATGTCTATTGTGAGCGAATGTTAGCCACGCCGCCCGTTCCGCGTGGGAAGACTTCCTTGTCTATTCGGTAGAAGAGGCCACTCAAGATTACGGACCATGTGCCGGTCCCAAAGTTTATGACGGATGCCCGTTTAAACAGAGCTAGGATATTCGGACGAAGGTCGGACCGAGGGAGCACGAAGGCAGAACGTCGCCGAGCCAGTCTTCAATTTTAGCAAGAAAATACACGCTTTGTTATTAACGGGAATTACATTGTAAAATTATTGCCTACACTATTCTTATTATTTCAGCTTCGTTGTATAGGCGGTGGTTGCTTATTGTTTTCGTGTAATTGGATTCTGGCGTTCTGTATTTGTCTAGACAGGCCCTGAGGCATTTCCGTTCGAACAAGCGCATCTTTTCCATGGTGCTGGCACTGATGTTGAACCATATGGGGCAGCCGTAGGTTAATATTGGGCGAATTATTAGTTTCTAGAATAATAGTTTTACTTTGCTATTGAGGTCTTTTGAGTAAAACATGCGCTTGTTCGCGATGAATGCTTTTTTCGCTTTTTCTACTTGTAATTTGATGTGTTCGTTGTGATTTAATTTGAAGTTCAGATGCACGCCTAAATAGCGGACGGTTTTCTTCAGAGGTCTACTTTGTTATTGTGGTTGCTACGATTGTGTATACTGAATTTTTTGGTATTTGTTCGTACGTCGGAGTTTGCGTCGGATATTCTTGATATGTATGGTCTAAATAGAATGGTTTCGCATTTTTTTGATGTTTATTTTTAATTTCCAAGTGTGGAAGTAATCCTGTATTTTGTTGAAAAGTTGTTGTAGCTCTGTTTTGATTACCGATGGTTTGTTATCTTTCGTGTATATTACTATGTCGTCTGCGAAAGCTATTATTGTTTTTTTGCCGTCGCTGTTTAGGTACATCTGGAGTAGGTCGCTGATGTAGATGCTGAACAGGATAGGGGAGTTTACAGTACCCCAGGAGGCCGTTTTCTATTTTGTATGCTCTGGAAGTGCTGTTACTTTCGTTTACGTGGAACTGTTTGTCGTGTAGCATGTTCCAGAGTATTTTGATTAGAATACATACACACTGTGAAAACAGTGAATTTTTGTCATTTTTTTTTTGTTTTTTATACAAAATACGAAAATTGTGCAAGAGAATTAACGATAAAATTAAAAGTGCCTTGTAAAATTATTGCCTATACAAGCAAGTGTAAATAAATTAATCGAGAAAAATTGTTTATACATATAACATGTTTTTTATTTCATTATTAGATGTAATTTTACATAAGTTTATGTAATGTTATGTAATATTATGTAATGTTTACAACACGAGGCAAGGAAATGAAAATTAGACACATTATAGTGCAAAAGAATCAGTGATTTATTTTACGAAGTTTTACGTTGCTAAACTTGTTGCACTTTTCTTGCACTTTTTGATATAATTGTAGGACAAGCTTCTAATGAGAATTCTGCAGACAACATTTTTTTAATTTCTATTCTGTTCGAAAAACATCCCCTGTATCTTTTTGTAGTATATAAAATACTAGTAAGTGTAGGCAATAATTTTACAATGGAGTTCTCGTTTATAACAAAGTGTATATTTTCTTGTTAAGCTGAAGACTAACTCCGACGTGCGACTTCGGTAATGTTCTACCGACCGAATGCCCCTCGCTTCATCCGGATCCTAGCTTTGTTTTACAGCATCGGTCATAAATCTTGAAATCGACCCATGGTCCTTAACCCGGGATTATCCACGTGGGGGTCTAGTGCCGGGATGTACCCCCACGTGGATAATCCCGGGTTAATCTCGAATGGCCTCTACTACCGAATAGGCGAGAAAATCTTCCCACGCCTAGGAACGGGCGGCGTGGCTAACATTCGCTCACATAAGATACATGGATTTTGTCTGATCGGACTTTAAATTTGTCATTAATTTTGAACGCCGATTCGCTATGCATGTGCACTTCGAAGTTATTGGTATTATAACAATTAAAATTTTTTAAACAATCTTTTCTTCAATTTGAAAGATATTAAATCGACAAAAAAGCGCTTTTTCAGACATATATTCTTTCGTAACTGTTTGATATCTAAGTGAAATGTTACAGTAAAATTACTGGCTTAATTTGGCGGCAGGGTGTACCTACTTTTACTGGCAAAGTTATAGCCGGAAGAAGTAAGAACATTCTGTATAATAATTTGCCTGCAAATTACAAAAATGCAACGCTCGGGGAAAAAGGGGCGTATTTCGAGAAACGCCGTTTCCGAGCAATTCTATATTTCGTTCGTTTTGAACCGCTCTGGCGGTTTCGGCGTGAACTACGGAGTTACCTACGGTGCAGTGTTACGCTTTGTGTACAATGTCAAGCGTAACAAGGAGTACTCAGTTGGCATGCGCAGTCGTTGGCCAATCAGAGAGAAGAGTTTGACGCGTATATATTAGGCGTACAAGCGTACGTATGTACTCGAACGACAGTCAGTGTGGTTAGAAGTAACGAACGAGCAGGGAGCGCGATACACGTCAGGGCTCTTATTTTGATTCGTGGAGGGGGCTCACCTCAAGAAAAACGGGCGGCCGAGTCCGAAGGATTTGTTAGGGAAAAGGTGAAGGATACGACGATAAAATATGATACATGCTGGAAATGGGGATGTTGTGTATTTGAAACAGCGAGGAAATCCGATGGAGAGTGACACGACAGAGAAGGCAGTGTCAAAAAAGTGCGAGGGGCAGCTGTCTTCGATAAAGGCAAACAGCTGTTCGTCCTACAAAGGTGCAAATCGTACGATAGAAATGGCATACGAGGACAATAATCTGAACTGGAATAATCTTCCCAGCATCATTCTGCAGGAAATATTCTCATATTTGCCGTACAACTGCCGGTTACAAGCCTCCCAGGTATTCTTGACTTTTTTTTTTCCTCTTCTTGTTTCAAGGCCGTTTAAGTTCTGACCTGACACAGTGGACAATTACAACCACTCTCTGTGTTGTGGTTCGTTTTCTCCCCCTCCTTTGTTCGCTGTATCGTTTGAATATTAGTTTTGCAAGCATTGATCCTAAATTGGTTTTTTTTTTCGTTATTTTTGTATCGTACGCGTGTCTCGAAAGTGACACAGGTTCAAACAAGGAGAAAAGGGAAAAGTGAGAAACTGGAAGTATACATTTACTGTCAAACATGTGTATGACATTGCCAGTAGAAGCGGAATTGTCGAATATTACTTATGTAGTTTTTCATTCTTAATGATTTTCATGTTTCTCTAATGCAAATTTAAATTATTTTGAGTTAAAATACATACATAGATGTGTATATCATTTGTTTACCCCTTGTATATATCAACAAATATCTTTGTTTTTGTGACAGTGATAAGTTTTAAAGTTTACGAGTTTGAAAATCACGAGAATGACTCACTTGTGTTAATTTGTGTTAGGTTTGCAAAAACTGGAGATACGCTCTGTTTCATCCTCATTTTTGGAAAAAGATCACATTCGTCCTAAAAGATGAAGACACTATAACGTGGACTAGGTAACGCAAAGTTCATTTATGCACATGTAAAATTTTTAAGCTTCATTTCTAACATTGTTTCTGGTTGCAGATGTTTGGCAAGCAATTTTGAACTTAGCGTGCAAGAAGTTACAATCATCTGTGATATATCAAATTACTGTGCGAAAGAGACGTTAGCCCTCTTGAAAAAGCTAAGCTGCAACAGGCAACTTCGTAAATTGTTTTTGGTACCTAGCAATAGTACATTCGACTGTGAGGATAGCACAAAATGGATGTTGGTTAATTTTCTCATAGACATTATAAAAAAATCTGATCATTTAGAAGCTTTGAGTTTAGGATGTATAGAAGATTTAACAGCGAACGCTGAGCAAATTCTTGTACAGCTTCGTAACTGCCAAGCAAAGCACCTAACAACTCTTAGTTTGGCATCCGTCAAGGATGATCCTGCTGATTATAACGTTTTGAATGCTGGTTATGGACACATGTTTAATTCATTTACCAAACTATGTATTTTAACGTTGGATTATGAGTTCTTGAGCAATTCTTTGCTAAGGGCGTTGAACAGCGGTACCATGGAAAGGCTTGTAATTCATTTGCATGACTGGAATTATCAATATTCGGGAGCAACTGATGGTAGTTGGCAGATATTTGTTCAAAAGAAGTAAGTTAATTTATCATTCTAGCGAAACGAGAAATAATTGTTTCTTTAATTTCAGTCCAAAATGCGAGTTGCGACTAACTCTTATACACTCTTACGTTGGTATTGAGAATTTAGATACAAATATACTTCGCTCTGCCATGCCTCTTACACATTTAAAAGTGTTATTTTGTGAAAACGTTAATATCAGAGCATTACATCGGCTATCCAGGTGGTATTCGCTTACTTTAAAATCTTTAATATGGATCGACTCGATACAACCTTTAACGAGGAACATACCAGCAACGTACGATCCAGATGATCCTCATAGGTAAGACGCGTTAATTTATATTGTAATTTTGCCTTTGAACTGTTTTGATCGATGATCGATGAATAATTTATTATTCTGCTGCAGCCCTGATCCATTAGTATTAGTTGCATGGAAGTGCACCAAACTTGTGGAACTTGTATTCATAGGCCACAATTACCATCAAGAAAATTTATTAGCTATTGCACGCCTACGCGGAGACTCGCTTAAATCGCTAGTATTTGCACAAAGATTCATTGCCTCTGATACTGAATCTTGGCATAAGGCTGAAACTATCACACATGTAAGTTTCTGTCTTCAGCATTTCCAAATACGTATTTATTATTATTATTTGTTAAATTATCTTCCGATCCTTCAATTGACTTTTAATTTTGTAGGAAATAAAAGAAATAATGGGAAACCAATGGGAACCAGTAAGTGATGAAGATTTACCTGCAGTTGTTAAAAATCCTTTCGAAGGTGATAGCAGGGAAGTTATCATGCCATTGGTCCTTCGTGACCAAAAATAAATTTTTATTTGTACCAACGAAACATTACTTCCCAATACCGTACATTACCGATCAACGTACATCGTCAACAATTTCTGCGAGCTACATTCTCAGAAGTAAAGTTATATTGTTATTTTTCTATAAGAATTGTTTTTACGACAACTACGAAACAGTGGACATGTGTAAAGTCGTAGTTTAAAGTCAGTAACTGATGGATACAATGTTGCCTACCAGGTAAGAATCACACAGTTCCAATGTGTAAACAGCGAGGGTAAAAGCGCACACAAGTTCTCCTTTGCAATGATTTTATTAATTTTCACGAGAACATGATAAGCCATAGTTGAATACGTCTTGTTTATGTCTTGTGTAAGAAGGTATCTAAATTTAGTACAAGTCATCCTCTATCTTTGTTTATCAAAATGAAGATCGAAAGTTTCCGTTGGTTTTTCCTATGAGAAACCTTTCGTGATGTAGTCGCGTTTTCTTGCTAACAGTGGTGGTCTCAAAACGATCAAAATAAGAGAGATATATGTAATAATGAAATGATCGTTCCTCTCATCGATGAACATTAGTGGAGAGAAAGAGTATACATATGTAACATACGAGTATAACGATATTCTTATTAGATACTAAGAACGAAGCACTTACAAGATGATGAAGGTTTCATCAATGCAGACCCCCGATGTGATGTTATCACGGGAAAATAATCTCGAATGTGTGAAGGTGAATATGTACTATCAGTGTTACTACCAATGAGAGGCGATTATTATATGAAACAAAAGCGAAATGGGGAAAATTGAGACTAAATGAGAGAGAGAAAGAGAACTAATCTCACGTTCCACTGGAAAGCATAACGAAATTCCAAATGTATGTAAGTAGAAACATGTTAACAAATATTTTTCCAATTCTATGGGAAATTTAAATCGAAGCGAGCGCCAAGAGCATGCAGTGTAAGAAAGAGCAACTAAATGAAAAGAATGAAATATATTGAACTTCGTAAAAAGAGAGTTTGTGATCGAGTTGCACAGATAATACAAAAGATGCACTCTGATAAATAAGAAATCGAATAGCGATCCGAGGTTATTTTTAATACCAAAACCAATCGGACGCTCTTGTACAAATATTAAGTGAACGTGTGCCGAAAAGAGTGCGGTTGATCTGCTGGTACATACAGTTTAAAACACACGTCAAACACACAAACGTATGCGTGTCAGATTAAAGAGGAGAGTAAAGGAGAGAAAGAGAATATCAATAATGCTTAATGGAAAAACTGTGCGACCTCGAAGTACCGTCTTTTCACCGTGCTCTTAGCGACCGCTGAAAATGAACACAATGATATAATAATAGGTTTATCTATAAAAACAAATCAGAGAAAGTAGCTGCTAATCGTGTATGTGTATATGTATGTATATCTGTATTATCTATCGAATTTTAAACGTTAATATTCGGATGCCGCATGCATCTATTTCTGTCGTGCGATTAATAATGACGACTTTGAAGGTTAAACGAAAATATGAAAATGAAAGGGAACGATCCGTAACACAAAGAAAAATACCAAAACAGCACTCTTATACAGTTTATTATTCTGAGAGGTTATTTACTTTTTTTCGAGTCCTTGTGTAATTATTACATCGTCGTGTATCGTATTTGTAGTCACATGTACCATTGTTTTTTCTTTTATATGTGGTTCTGTACATATACATCCATGCGTTAAAAGAAATATTGGACACGCGCAAGAATCGCGAAGTTGCGCCCGAATTTAATGCGCAGGAAAAAAGAGAAGAAAAAAAGAAGAATGAGACGATGAGAAAAGCAATATATAGCGATTTATATCAGAGAAGGAAGAACGAACGATGAATCGATTCAGAGCTAGGCACAAATAACGAGGAAAACTATTTCTTTAAACGATTTAAAACTGTTATACAAAATGAACGGGCCTTAACCCTCGTATTCGTGAACGGCGATAGCTAGATCAATTCTGATCCAAATGGTTTTGTTTTATTTGTTGTTATTTTTCCAAATCCCCCTATTTTCATTCTCGAGTTTTGTGAGAAAAACTGAAGGTATATTACGGTGGATACAACAATTACAATATATCTATAACAAATTATAATTGAGAAAGCAACTTGCAACATTAATCGTTATAAATTACAGCATTATATTGCATTATATTGCAAAGCAATATCAAATAAGCGTGTATCCATCTGTTTTTTTTTTTCATGGTTGCAAATATTCGACTTTTGGATTAGAAATGATCCAGCTAACTGCCACAGGGAGGGTTAACATGTATTATATGTACCTGAGTCGCGGTGAGGACAAATTTTGCCGAAAGATTTCGACACGCGACAACTACCATTAAAAGAAACTACCCGTAATCACCTTAATGGACATTTTTCGGCGATTCGCGATGAAACACCTATCTGTTTCCCGCCAAGAAATGACTGGCCAGTTAAGGTATACTCATGCCCTTTCATTTCGTATTCCGCGCGCGTGTATTTTTTGAGGTTAGCAAATTCTTACAAAACGGAACCAACAGTTATTCGTTAAACTATATACATATATTTAAAAAAGAAAAAAAAAAGTCCGCGAACTATTGTCATTCGCTGACCACTGACGCTGTGCGCAGATGTTATTTACTAAGTCTTTTTTTCTCTTTTCTTTTTTTTTTAATTTCTTCTCTATATAATATATATATATTTTTTGTCGGTTTTATTATTACTATTATTATTATTATTATTAATGTCTATTATTTTTATTTTTTTAATCAGACGAAGTCCCGCATAAACAGTATACTCGCGGGCGCGGTGCCCGGCGTGTGAGTTTAAGGAGAGAGAGAGAGAGAGAGAGAGAACAGTGTGAAAGAACATATGTTGTTGTAAAAAATAATATGATAACGTATGAAAGGGAACGGAATTTAAACGAGAAGTGAACACGATGAGATATGCGTTCGAATGCGAGAACGAGAGCGAGAGAGAGAGAGAGAGAGGTATCCAAATGAGTAAAAATAGCAACAAACAAAAGTCAGGTGATACGTAGTACCATCTCTGCGAATCCTGTGTACAAAGTCATGTAGAAAAAAAAAGATAAAAACAACACAACGGCGTGACGTGCGGCCTCTTAACCAAACGGACACAACCCAACTATAACGTATAATATAGCGATGTAAACGCGAATGACAAACCAAGCATAAGACTGAACCTGCCGGGAAAGGTATAATCACAGAGTTGGGGGATCCGCACGTCTGGCCAACGCGTCCGACCTTCATATTCATAAAACAAGGACCGAAATCCGGGCTAAACGGAAAGCATCATTCGCAAATCGCGTCCGAACGAAATTGTTCACATCGATTTTACCTGTTGTCGATAATGCTTGTTACTCGTCTTAACTGTTTTCCTTTTCTTACGTCGGTAGCTTTCCGTTTTGGTCTATTCGCCCCTAACGAAATGATCTGCGCGAGCGCCGATTTATGAATATGCGAGTCGTTAAGAGGAAGAAAAAAAAAAGAAAGAAATAATAATGAAAACTAGAGGAGTAAAAAAACAATAACAAAGGGATGGTGCATCAGCTAGTGTTTAGATCGGATAAGCGCCTCGTTGCGAAAAAAAAGCGAGAGAGAGCGAGAGAGGGAGAGAAAGCGCGAGCGAAAGAGCGAGAGCGAGCGAGAAAGAGAGAGAGAGAGAGAGAGAAAGAATAACAAAAGCTCACTCGAAGGTGGTTCTCGTAGCCGATAAATACTAACCTATAAGACAGCCTGCCAAGAATCAAAATATTGTAAAATATCAAACGAACGCTAGCCAGTACAGAATGCTAAGATCTATTTTTTAAGAAGCGAATGTATATTTTTGTACTAAGGCAGGCCTTAGTGTGAATCGTGTATTCTCTTGCGTGTAATAGCAAGATGAGAGCTGTGATCATAATATCATTTCGGCTTAACGAGAGAGAACATATAAAGGGGAGGAAAACCGAGGAGGGGGAAGAAAGAGAAGCACGGGAAGGAAATAGCGAAAGCAACGCGACGATTGCGCGTTCACGGGTAAACATAAAGGAGAGATAATGAGACAAATGTTTCCCTGTTTAGTATGTTGTTACCGAGTGGGCTATAGATAAAAAAATAAACGGGTGGCGATAAATCGAGAACAAAACATCTGTGATAAAACATAAAATCTTAGAAAGGGTGCTCGAGAGAGAGAGAGAAGAAGAAGAAACAAGCGTGCGTTAAACGATACAATAAGAAAACATTAAAAAAAGAAGCAAAACACAAGACGCGGTGGGGAGTGGGGGGAGAGAGGAAGGGAGTAATATAGGTCGAAAGACAAAAACCCTGCGTGTATTAGGAAAAACAATACGCGAGACATGCAATTCCTACAAAAAGAAAAAAAAAAAAACAAAGAAATAATAAAATGTTTAGAAGTGCTTTTAGAAGATCTGTTGTAACGAAAAAGAAAAAAAAAAAAAAAACAATGTTCGTCGTGTGTATAACTAATTAACAGATGGAGACTGTCTTTCGACGAGATAGCCCGGTCTAACTATTGAAGTGGTCAACGTCCTGTCTTATCCTTGTCTAACAATAAGAAACGAACACGCTCGGGTCACAGTCATGTGGGTCCTCGATGAATGCCCACGCTGTTCCATCTGAATAACAAAACATTTGAACGAATCGCTCCTTGCGATTGATGATATATTTGCTGTTCTTCGAGTAAGGAGGGAAAGCTATACTTGTTCAGCTATATAGAACGTTACTTAACCCGGGATTACCCACGTGGGGATGTACATGCACTAGACCCCAAGATGGGTAATCCCGGGTTAAAACAAACCTGACATTCCACGCTACACGGTATCGCAACTTTATTGTATACATACACATGTATATATATATAAGTACGTATAGTTAATTTAGTATTATACGACTAATTTCGAGCTAAAGAACTAAACGATCTATCAACGTACACACGTGTACGCGTTCCGGTCGATGTTACGTAAAGATCGCGAAACCACACCAGAGAACCAGAGAAACCCGCCTTCGTCGTGCCGACGTGATAAACTCGGGGATAAAGTCAGGACGTTGTACGCCACGAGTAGTAGTATTATAAGTTCCTAAAGAAATGAAATGAAAGAAGAATATTTTGACACCGTTTAAGTGTGTACGAATTGTAGAACTGCATTTGATAGAGCAAACCAACCAAACTTACACGAACAAGAGAGTACATTCGGTTCGATGTAGTTCGTTCGTTGATTATCGTTATGTTTTTTTTTTTTTTTTTTTTTTTTTATTATACGGAAACTGCTTTTCAGCAGCAACAACGCCACCGATTCTTTTCTCACGTTTCGTTTTTGCATATTACGTGCGCGCGTGTGCGTGTACATGCATCCACGTGTACATGTACACGTACGTGTATACGCATATTATATAATTTACAAATACGTATGTACAAACCATTCCAATCGAACGAGCGGGCGTTACGAAACGTGGCAGTAAAACATGCAGAAATTGGAAAGGATGGTTTCGCGTTGAACGGACAGAAAAAAAAAACTCTCACAGGAAAAACAAGAAAATGTATGCTATATTCAGTTCAAACGTCGATGCATATATGTGTAGACAATGACATATATATGCGGATGAATGACGAACAACATATATGTAGACCAGTGAACTCAATCGATAACGCAAGAAACGCGGATTAATGATTTCGTGTAATGTTAATATATATATATATAGTCTCGATTATTTTATTACTGCCGTCTCTTTTTCTTTAAAAAAAAAAAAAAAAAGTGAGAACGTCTTCGAGGTTCGTTCGAGAAACCACACTGTCCAAACAACCGATGTTTGACGAGAAAGAGGAAAGAAACAATATTCCGTAAACTTTGCGCCAATTCCTCAATCGATACGTAAAAAGATGAAGGAAAAAAAAAAAAAAAAAATACAAGAACTAGAACGTTTACCGAAACGCAGCGTTAGATTATATAAGTTATTAAGGGCTGAGGTAGCAAACGCGAGCAAGCTATTTTTTATCACGTTGAATCACGAGGTAAGACGAAGAAAAAAAAAAAAAAGAAAAAAAAGAAACGAACTCCGCCGAAAAAGAAGTATCTTCCATGCGAATGAAAGGAGAGAGAGAAAGAGAGAGAGAGAGAGAGAGAGAAACATTTGCGAAGTGAGAAAGTACGAAGAAATTTAAGAAAAAAAAAAAAAAAAAAACGTGACCGGGCCCAAAATAAATGTCGTCGTGTTATATTCGTTCATCGGTTAATTAAAGTCCTAGCTCTAGGGAGTGGAAAAGTGAGTACGCGTGCAAAAGGAATGAAAGAAAGGGAAAAAACGAAGGAGAAAAGTGTGTCAAGGAGTTTTAATCACGGTCATCGGTGTTTGTTAAATAAATCGGGATCAGAGAACTTGAGGTAACGTTCAAGCGAACAACGATCATCATCCTGTTGCGATGGATTCTTCGGACTCGATTCAGTTTCCCCGCGTTTCTCGGATGTGTCGGTTTTTCTCAACGATGATTGCCGAGGACCAAAAATCGTCGCAGCGATCGTGCACGAGTTGCAATCAATCCGGTGATCGTTACGCGTATTGAAAATACTCGAGGATGCATACGGGTTCGTCGGTGGGATAACGTTATCTTGACGCGTTCGAAACACGTTATTAACCGTTCGTAACCGTTCGTAGAATTCTTTCGGTGAACTTGTTGGTGGAGGATTATCGCTTCGCATCGTATTAACCGTCGTTACTCAGTAACGATCCTCCGATACATAGTAACTCCTTTGGAATCAACCGTGCGCCGATATTTCTTTCCCGAGAAAGAAAACGGAGACGCTCGAGATCGTTTCCAAAACGCGTATACAATATATATTTTTCAACGCGAAATAGTTGCTCCGCGCGTCAGCGTTTCATATCCAATGAAATGAAACAATGTATACCTTTAAGCAGTACGTCGCGAGATACCGAGTTTAGTTGAAATATTTCTGTTCGGGGCAACTCCGATCGATTCCCCTTGTGCTGCAATATGCGCGATCGACGTGAAGACGTTCGGCATTTCCGATTACGTTCAGGGAAATACTTAATCTATTAAGGACAAAGACGCGTTGGCGTACAGTGTTTCGGTATTTGTAATGTTCCTTTCTTCGAAGAAAGAACTTGTTGCACGATGTGGTTCTCTTTATCGGTAGCTGTTTCTTCTTTTTGTAATCATCTGGATCCTGTAATTTTATTTCAACGAAACTGAGGCATCTCGTGTTGTCGTGTCGTGTGATCAACTGTTCTTTCCAGGTTGTAGAAACTTCTCATCTTTCCAAATCCGTAGATTTGGAAATTTCCTTCGCAATGTAATTTATTTAATTTATATAACGGCGATCGGTCCTTAATGGATTAATGGTCCGCAGGGAGATGTTCGTTGGCGTGTTTCGGGTGTAAGTCCGCGTTCAATTCTTCCTTGTTAAAAGGCACGTTTAACGATGCTGTACATACTGTTCGATTCCATTGCGGTTAATAATTTAATCGGCGTCGCTGTGGTTTTTTCCAACAGTATAAGTGCAAAAGCGTGTGTCACGCGTCCGCCATGTGTCCGCCAGTTCTGAAGCGTGAAATCGGACGTTTAACACTTCTGGTTTCGGACAAAGGGGAAAAGAGAGAGAGAGAGAGAGAGGAAAAAAAGAAATCCCCGACGATTACCAATGAATTTCGACGGATAAAATCGTGGCCTCTTATCACACGTTATATACACACACACACACACTTTTTAGTCGTCGTAGGCACAACGTGTTTTCGCAACCCGTTAGCGCACTTGGAAGTTTCTCACGTAGAACTCGATACGCTAATTATGTAAAAGAAGAATACGTGTATACTTTGTAAATGTTCTCTCGTAAATATGTTCGACGACGAAAACGAAAAAAAAAAAAATAAAAGAAAAAAGAAAAAAAGGAAAAAAAAAAAGGTGAAAAACAAAGTTGAATATGCCGGTATACCTCGAGCGGAGGATTTTCGTCCTCCGGCTCGGGCATTGATTTTTTTCGTAATCTCGGTGTTCTCAGAGGTTAATGTTTATACATGTAGTGACGACATATACATACTTGTATAGGTGAATAGCATTTCGATCGAGCGCGGTAAAAGCAGGGGATCCCGACCGGTGTGTATCGCGTTAAGAGGATGAATGCAACGGCGTTTGAAATTGCTGTTTCCGAGAGACGAAGCGTGCGATATCTATATATGCGTGTCCAGCGCGACTGTTCCATTATTTTCTTTCGCGTTGTTGACGATGGTGTCATTTCGCGCCATTTCGGACCATCGATTTTTAACTTCTCGTAAGATAGTTCTTGGATCTCCGAAGAGAGAGAGAGAGAGAGAGTGTGTGTGTGTGTGTTGCGTGCTTATTTTTCCTTTTGCTATTTTGTACACTCGTCTCGTTTTCCAAATACAGTAGAACCTCTCTGTGAACGCGAAAGATACGAGTCGCGCGAGTTTCACGAGGTTTTTACGAAAACCTCGAGCGCACAAAAAAAAAGTTGAAGCGAAACGAAGCTTTTCCTTCTTCCGAACAGAACGAAAAATTACATCAACCCCCGAGAAAGGGGGAAAAATTTCGTTTGACGCGCGTTGGCGTTTAAAAGTCGTTTAAAATGTGGGACAACGACACATTGAATTGTGGAAATTGAATCATGCCGATACAGTTTCACCTCCAATTTCTGAAATTTGTATTCTCTACAAACGTACGTTCCTTTTTAATCGCGTTTGATTAGGGGTCCTACTGTGTCCGATATACTTGTTTTTTCTCGATCGCAATCTTTCTTTCACGGTGTGTCGGTTCGACATCGAACTTGGGCGACGTTTGTAGCATCTGTAAAGTAGTACGATCCGTGAAAGAAAGAAAGAAAGAAAGAAAAAAAAAAAAAAATAAATAAATCACAGCGCATTTTCAGCATTATTTTCCGCTGACGCGATAAAAATCCAGCAAAGGTTTGAACTCAGCGGGAGGAGGCGGGTGAGAGGAGGAAATCGAAGTCGTCTCCTTTTACTGTTACTCGCGATTCGCGCGTCGCGAAACCTCCAAGAACAGGAACCAATATCCACGTACATATATTAAGGATGCAATCTCTACGTATTAATATATTATACAAACTTACACCGCCATCGTTTCCCTCTCTTTTCTTTTCTTTTCGTTTCTTTTATTTTCTTTTCTTTTTTTTTTTTTTTTTTTTTTTTTTAATTATTTACGGTACAGATTTTTATATAAATAATAAATCCGTAATTTTTGCTGTTGTACATATATTCTTTTCAACATATGAAAGAGATGATTTTCGAAACCACACTGTTGAAAAAAATCACCTTCGAACTTGAATTTAATTGAAAGTTAGTTCTTTCTTATATATTTTGATGTTTTATTACAACAAAGTAGGTGGGATCTACTATATTCGCCCTGTAGATTCTAAAAGTGATCGATTGATATCTGACTTTGAACGATTACGGTAACGAAAGAATGTTTTCCAAGTAAGTTTTTCGCACGTTCTCTAGAATTTATTGTATATTTCCATTGATTTGCTTCAATTCCCAATGTACGTTTCGTTGCTCAATGTTCGTGCGTTTTTAAAATTATTCTTTTGCTATAGATCTTGATATATAGTCAGTTGAGCGATCGATTAGTTTTTGATTTCAGAGTCTTCGATTGCAGATATAATATATTCTAATACACGGCTATTACGTAAATTCTAATCTGTGGATAATTACATGAATTGCGCGCCGCATGTTATTTATACATTTTAAAATTCACACAGATGAGGTCTCATTGATTCAAGTCAAATAATTTTGATATTTAATGCTTCTGCGTTTACGTAAAGCATTAAATATCGGTTACACCTGCTGGAAGAAGATTGTTTCCACAGGACAGATACATCATACGAAACGACGCGACGCGATGTGAGATTTAGCCTGGCTTCACCCAGATGCTGGTATCACCCTATACGTTATCGTACTTCTATCTTTTGGTTGCATAATGCTAGTCATCTGTATGGTCGTATGACACACTCTGTAATAGCCGCGCCGCTCTCTTCGGTCGACGTTCCCGGGGAAAAGAATTTTTTGTAAGGGAAGAACGTTACCTATGTTTCTTTAATACGTGCTCCGATGTTTCACAATAGATCGGCAGAAATGAAAGAAATGTAGTTATTGGAAACTCTCAAGAATTGTATCTACTTACCATGTAAATTTCACTTCAAAAAGGGACAATTATTTTTTTATTTCCTAGCTAGTTGTGTTCGTAGATATTAAACGAAATAGAAATTAATAATATTTTATTATATTTTATATATTATTACATTACATTTTATTATATTTCATTATTATATTATATTTTATTATATTTTACTATTATATTACATTTTACTATATTTCATTATTATATTATATTTTATTATATTTTATTATTATATTACATTTTACTATATTTCATTATTATATTATATTGTATTATATTTTACTATTATATTATATTTTAATATATTATAATAATATTTTCAATATAATTTTAATAATATTTATATTATATTACAATAATATTTTCAATGACGCGTAATAACCTGAATAAAATCGAAATTACATGCACATGTATATTACGTGCCAACAATTTTCTTACATATATTAAAATATTGTTTAAATATTTATTATTAAAATATTATTTATATATTATTATATATTAAAAATATATTTATATATTATTTACATATTAAAAATAAAGAGACAGGTTAAGATAAAGGAACAATTTTAAAAAGGGAATTATCAGCAACAATTCTACAACAACGATTAATCATGATATATATCGACGCGACAATTCAAACATATATGTCGAGCCACGAATTTC